GCAGATCTTTTTGAAAAGCAATTTGTGTTCAAATAGAAATAATCGAGGAAATAATTAAAATAAAATAAAATAAAATGTTTTAATAATATTTTAGCATTAATAATTATTTAAAAAAATTTGTTAATACATATTTTGTTAATATATTTCATTTTATTTTATTTAATATAATTTGTTATGAATCTGTTAATTAGATAATGTATGAATTTATGTTTCTTTCAAAAAATTATAATTTCTTTAATTACAAAAAAATTGAAGTCTTTTATAATAGTTCACATAAAAAATTAATTAATTAACATAAACGTATACAATAATAATAGATATTTATGTATAATAACATTTAATGTAATTGAACATAATGTATTCCATTTATACATTTATTTATTTAAAATATCAAGTCCATTTTCCTCAAAATAATTGGTTTAGTCATACAAACGACTTTTCCAGATCATGGATATGTACAAGAATGAGGATATGGACTACGAACCGGCTAAGATGCTGGCTGAATTCTACGTGTGATGAGTGCCAGCCAAGTTTCTCCGCAAATTTTCTCCGTAGCGAGAAATACGTTGCGAAAGGGAGGACTGTTTTCAAACAATTTACTACTATCGTTAATTATACTTGAAATTGGGATCAAATTTCATTAGATGTCGTTCTCGTGTCTACAAATGTCGCATATTGTGAGAGAGAAAGAAAATAAGCAACTACATTAACGTTTCTAATTCATTCAGCCAAGTATTTTTTTATAAGCAGACATTTTATGTCTCCATAGTCTCCGAGTACCTAGACTAACGAGGGAGTCAATACAACTAAAGTGATCTAGTCAAGTATTAAATATATATTATACTTATATACAAAACGTATATCATGTCGTGGCTGATGTGAAACGAATGATGCATCGCGCGATTCGTCGAAGTGAATATTTTTCGATTGTTAACGCTATTGTCGAAGTCTATCAGAGTGGAAAACATGTATGTGTGTGGGCGTGTGTGAAATTTGTCTGTATTCGTGAATCGATGCCTAATATTGGGAGGAACTTTCTCTGTTATCGTGATGATTCCTAGACCATACATACCTTAAGTTGAGAGACGCTCTCATGGTCGGACCTAGCCGATAATTCTCGTGATTGCTGGTAATGACTAGAGTATTAAGTATAGAGTGTTTGAGAATCTCGAGACCGCGCAATTTACAATCGCGGACTACAATTTATAGATCGAAGGAAGCGCCTCTTACATGGCCCTTACATGAATGGTCATATAGGATTGTAAATAAACTTCAAACAAGAGCCTAGTATAATGATTACTACGTTGTTGTTTTCATTATAATATAATGTTATTTACATAAATTATTATATCATCCTATACATATATATTGGATATAAAGGACGAAATAAAAAAATTAAACAAATCACATTGTAATTATTTCCGTCTGTTGCGAGTAATTATTTTTACAAGAGCGAATATTTGTAAATTGATAAAAACTACAATGCGAAATAGTTATGCTATAAAAATAATATTCTCTAACTACTTTTGTTTAACTATTAAGCAGTCCAATGCGTCTGATAAATATATTTGAGCCTCAGAAATTTTCGCAGATAAAGATTGCATTTTAATTATTCAAATACTATTTTCTAAATCATTTTTACAAATAAAGATTATAATGATGTTTCATAATGATCGTGATCGAGATAATGATCGAGTATATCAGACTTGACATCATCGATACCAAATTCTTCATATGGAACTGAAACAAATTAATATAACAAATTAATCTCTGTTTGTCTATACAAAACATAATTGCGATATATATCTTCTTATCATTTCAAAATAATACCATAAATAATCTCTAAAAATACTATTTTTAAATTACCACGCGATGTTTCTAACTTAAATTGTTAGTATATTTAAGCAGAACAAGTTACGATAACATTAAAATAACATTGAAATAAATCATAGCTGATTAAAAAGTAACTTTTAGTAATAATTTTGAAGCTATTTTGATGTTTTGATGTCTTGTGTGATACTTGGAGTATTTTTTCAGACATTTCCATATTGTTGCAAAAAATCACATTAATTTTTTACAAACATTGAATAATGAGAATTCATGTTTTTATTTACCGGAATGGGACACAATGTGATCTACATCATTGTCTGATTCCACAATTGGAATGATTCGCTCGTGATCGTGCTCCACATCAATCTCCTGAATTTCTGCAGGATCTCCATAGTTCACGGGTACCTCTATAGCATCGTGATTACCAAGTTGAACATTTTGATAACTGGTAGCGCCATAACCATGATAAACCGCATGGTGCGAATGATCCCCACTTGTTATTATGCCCGCCTCACAAACGGCAATTAGCACCAGAGAAAGAAACAACTGTATAATAATACGACAAATTTAAAATATTATGGTTGCATTCCATTAAACGCTCATGAAATCATTTTATCCTTGTTGTTTATCAAACGTTAAACAAGGAAAAACATTACTCGTGAGCTTTACGAGCGTTAAGTGGAATGTAGCCTATGACTAAAAAGACGTAGTAAATTATTTTAATTTTTTATGTTAATTTTACTAAAGTATGTCGACGATCCTTAATTTGTACAATTTTTCGAGTCAAGTTAAAGTTAAATATTTATATATATTTGCTAAGTATTAATATTAATTTTAATTAATATTAATATTAACACAATTCTAAGTGATAATTCATTATAGAGTTTATATAAAAAAATAGGGCATTTTTGGATTTAATTAGTCGATCTTTCCAATTATTCGTTGCAACCATTCTTATGTGATATGAAGGCAAATTATATATATGATTCTTTTATGCACGTCATACTTAAACGATGAATGAAAAGACATTGTAAAATTAAGTTCCTTTACATCACTCTTATATAGTTTCCACTATTTTCTTAATAACTTCTTCAACGTTCACTTACATAGCAACTCATAATGAATTCACTTCTCGGACAGCTCTGGTAGACTCTATTATACTGAAAGCATCTTCTCATGGATGTCTATTTTATACAACGGTGGCCGCGTGATATTGCGTAAGTTTTATGTGAATATTACGCATTATGGACGGATGTTTACAATTCGTGCTTCATGGCGTGGATTCACGTGGACGCAAATCCATACATAGCACGTTTGTACATGGGTATGGGAAAACCGGCCGGTTACACCCGCAAACTTGCATGTGTAGGCCATTTCAAAACGCCGAGATAGTTCACCGTTTCATTGCCGAGTTATGCAATCCCGGCCGAGCGGTGTTGCGCGTAAGTGAATGACGAAATCGTGCGATTCTTCGAAATTCTCGGGAATAAGTAGAAAGCTCACCAAGCGCGGCGCTATTAATTCCAATTGCACCAAGTATCAATTTTATGCAATCGATTTCTGATGCGACAAAGCGGGAAGAAAAGTTCTCCCGGCGATCTGCGACAAAGAGAGACTGTACAAGCAGTCTCATTTTTTCTTTCAAACACAGAAAGAATGTAAAAAAAAGCCAGATTTTTAAATAATTTAAATTATCAAAATAATTATGTAAAAAATTCAAGTATGATGAGAAATGTTGCAAAAAGTTTTAACGTTCTAACAATCAGCTCGCGCGCTTTACATAATTATTTTGATATTCAATAAAATTATTTTTTATCTATAATATATCTAGCTAAATTTTTAGATATTTGTACTTTTCAGTTCTTTTTGTGTAGAAGTTTTGTGACAAATTTTTACCACGATCTTTGAACTATACATTAATAATTAAATACCTTGTTAACTAAAATTAAAATTATGCATAATTGTATATTTGTATTTTGTAATTATGATCTAAACTCTGTAATTACGATGTGTAATGTTTAATGATGCGATTCAATTCCTGAGAACAATTGAAGAAGAATTAAGTTTTATTATATTTCGACGCAATCTAGATAAGCGGAAGATGTTCGCAACTTCATAACGTAACAATTGTATGCTTATGAAATTCCTATGCATAACTGCTTCTCTAGATGAAAGTTTGAAAAAGTAGCGATATTTTACGGTTGGAAAGTTTTGGCACTAAGATCGTTCAGTGTTTATAATCTTTATTTGAATCTTATCAAGAAAGAATCAAGACATTCACAGAATAAAAATTCACGTTTTGAAACATTAAGATAGACATCGTTCTTTTATTAAAAATTAATTAAATTTCCTTAATTAAAAAGCAAGGTAATTGTTCACGTAAATTGAGAGTTTAAATAACACAGAATGTAAGAAAGTACATTATATAATACAAATTACATGTTTATATTATTAAGTATTATTTATTAAAAGCGCAATTGTTTTCATACTTTTAATTATAATTTATAAGCACGTAAATTTTGTTTTTATATTGAGAAAATATGTATCAAATTTTAATTAATATATTCATAGAGAATAGTGTGCCAATTAAACATCCACTTATAGTAAAAGAATATTTACATAATCGAAAATGATTATTAAATTGAATTAATGATTCTTGTACCAAATAAGATATCTTTACATTTAACAAATATTTAGTCGATACTTTTCAAACAAAAAATTTATTAAAATTTAGAATGTATCTTTTTTCAGTGTATTACGGACTAAAGAGTCTCCATTAGATTGAAGCATCAAGAAAATTTATTGCAAAATATAAAAATTTAATAAAGAATTAACAAGAAGGAATGAGATAAAGAAAATCATTTTATTGCACTCTCCAAATCAAAATTGTATCTGTTTCAAAACAATTCGGTTTCTTTCATTTTGACAACTAGTAGCATTTCCTGGTCCTTAACACTATAAACGCATATTGCATTGCTCTCATTTCATACATAATTGTACAATTTACAATTTTTCATTGCATTTTAAATACAAGCTCCAAATTTTTAATTTACAAAACGCAGGTCAATGTGAGCAGACATGAAATCATCAGTCGATTATTTAATAAGCGCATTTAGAAATTTTCTCATTTCGCGCAGCTTGACATAATATCGATCGTTCGATCAAGCATTCTACGCACAATGAGGCTTAACTATAATGGAGTCATGAATCGGTTGTGGGGCGTACACAGGTGGCGGTGCATGGACCATAGGTTTCACGTAGGACACCTGCGGTGCCTGCACATGCACCACTTTCGGCGTTGAGTACTGAATGGCGGGCGCATGGACCAGCGGTTTCTGGTACAGTATCTGAGCAGCGGGTGCCTCGTACTTCTTTAGGAGGAGCTTCGGCATCACATCGTCGTATATAGGGCTCTGGTACGTAGGTGCGTAATGCAGCGGCTTTTGGTAAATCGGCGCGTAAGACGGCATGGGACTCTGATAGAAGGGCATCACGGGTTTGATGTATTGCAACGACTGATGCTGTGCGTGGTAGTTCACCACTGGAGTAGCCGGTTTCACGTACGTGATGGCCGGTTTCTGCATCACGGAGGGATAGGCTTGCGGTTGTTGGATGTATTGCAGGTGAGCTAAGGGTGCTATGCCCAGCTCTTTCTTCAAGTAGGCTGGTTGGACCAGGGGCTTAACGTAGACTGGCGGTGGTGAGTAAGCGGGAATATGTGGATAGAGCGGTTGTTGGATGGGTTCGCAAGGTTGGTGGATGGAATCTCTCTTTGCCTTCAGCATTGAGGCGTCCGACGTTTTGTCCAGCGACTCGACCGGCATGTCCATGTGCATTCCGGTTTCCGAGCGCACCGTTGACAGCCACAATAGGCATGGTATCTAGGAATTAGAGTCAAATTGTTACGAATGATGTAGAAAAGAACTTGTTGAAAAATCTATACACCAAGTATATAGGATGTGTAAAAAGAAATATTTATTATTATATTTTATATGAAAGTATATTTGAAAAAACCATGTTATTTTAATTTTGTAAAGAATAATGTGCGTTTGCAAGTATATTATTATTGCATATTTTTTAACTATAAATGTTTTGTTTGACAATTAGTATATATATTAAGTGCTATTTATAAATTGAGTTGAGCTCTCTGGAAACTCTCTTAAAATTAATTCTCTGGGAATCTGTTTTTATTATCAATCTGGAAGCTATAAAATGAAAAGCACACTGAATTCTTCAATGGCACTCTCTATTTAGAATTGTTTTTCAGGTATCAATCATACGGATATTGTATAAGAATATAAAAATTATATATTAAATGGACGTATTGTAACATTTTTTTTAAAATTGAAACAGATATTAAGAAAGATAATAGTAACAAATAAAATTAAGTATCTCTCTCTATTAATAAAAAAGTTGTAACATAGTAAAGTAAAAAGAATCTCGGGAATGTCATACTCGAGTGGCATCGAAGGGTTAAATCCAGCACAGAGCAGCGCTACATCGGTATGCTTACCAATAGCCTGAACATGATTTCGCTTCTGTTTCTGTTGAATTGCACGATGACCAATAGATCGGGAGTTCTGGACCAAACTAGAAGCGCGCTCGCAGTCGTCGGTTTTATAAACTTTTGCTCCATTTAGAGAGGGCAAGTTTCTTACTAAAGTCGAATGTGATTCCCTTAAGTGGCGTAAAAAGCGGTCGCTAGATCCATGATGCAATCGTACGCGCCCCGGTATTTCCTGAATAAATTCTGTGACGACGTGAGTGAGTGACCACCTCGGGCATGGCGACACATTGCGTCGTTGACATTATTCGTCGTCGTTTATCCACGCGGTGGACACGCCAATCTGCCGTACAACCCGAACAGTGAAATATCGCCCGAAGTGCTGCCTGTAGGAAAACAGTGACGTATATAATTTATAATAATTACGGATGCATTTCACGTTTTAACATAAAGTCAGGCACACCTGAGGTATTTATTGCATGCAACCCTATGTCGCCGGGAGCGTTGAAATCTCAGAAATTATAAATTTTTCAAAAAATGAGTGTACAAAGACTTAACAAAGATACTAGTATAATTACGTATAATGCACATGCATATTATAATATATTATATACATTATATTTTTAATTTAATATATTTAATGTATATACCAGAATTATACAAATGTATAGTAATATATTTTTTTGTTATCAAAATTATTTTTAGATCTGTATTTGACTAAATTTTTTAATACTACAGAATCGTTCTTTCCATAAAATGAAATCTATATGTAACTAATTTTTCTGTGATTCTATACTTAAATAATATTATTTACAAAAAGTTACTGGTCGAAACTATTTAAAAAATAATACCAGAGTTATAAGAAGAAACAATTTATTTAACAAATGCTACATTTTTAACAGTAAACTATGTACATCACAACGCTCACGACCTAATATTGTTCGTGTAACGCTTGTCGCTATTTTTGGCATAAAGATACTGGAAAGAATTTTCCAAAATGAATCAATGCTTCTTCCAGTGTCTTGAGCCATGTCCAGAGCCGTGTCCCGAGCCGTGTCCTGAACCATGTCCTGAGCTCTTATGATGAAAAACGTGCTTGTACACTGGCACGTGAACTGGATACGGTTTAGGTATTGGCACTGGAAAGTGCTTTTCCACTGTCACTGGGTACGGCTTCTCGACAACATACGGTACCTGCAACGCAATATGTTTATAGATATTTACAAAATTTAAATATAAAGAATATTATCAAAAGCAACAAAACATTTTATAAATTATTCATCTGTTTTAGTATCACGATACTTTATATGCATTATCAGTATTTTGAATTTTAAAAATATAATTAAACTTAAATAATACAAAAAATATAACATTTTTATAATATTATTAATTTTTATAATATTTAAATGATATAACATTTCCTACAATCTTGTTTCTTATTACTTGTATAAGAAAATAATAAGACACTTATAATATCCCAAAATAAAAATTATATTGTACTCTAGATTCGTGTCTAACATTTTCCTTTACAAATGATTTAATACAACTTTATATAATCTTTTAAAAATATTTATCAATACCAACCTTTTTCTCCACGACGTACGGTTCCGGTTTTTCTATAGGTATCTCAACGTGTTTAATAACTTCTATAGGTACTGGATGCGGAACTGCAACTTCGACCTGATAGGGTTGAGGTATCGGAATCTTAATTTGCTGAGGAACTGGAACGGCGACCGGGTGCGGAATTGGTATCGCGTATTTCTTGTAGATAGGTATCTCGACTGGCTTAGAAGTTTCGTGATAGGTAGTACTACCGTGCTCCTCCTCGTAAGAAGCCCACACTGCGGCCACCATTGTGGCAAGTACCTACAAGTGAGTCATTAATATCACCGAGTTTCGAAGTAGAATGTCGCCAAGATTGTTATTCGTAACCGCTTTCTAGTCGCGATACCCGCGATAGTAAACTCTTCTTCTGGACAGTTTCACGAGATAACTGTATCTAGTTGAACGCGCAGATCGCTCGTTTTTCTAATCGCCTTACCAAACCATATTCGTAATGGTGTCACGCAGAGTGCAGTAATTTCGTAAGAAATAACTAATTGCAACCTTGTCTCGTTTATCGACTTAATTACTCTTCGTGAGAAAAGTAAGATTTGTTTTTCTGCTTTCCTTTTATACAATAAATTGATGGTTGCCTAACATTTATGAAAAAAAAAGTTAAAATTAAATAGTTGAGTGTCGATGTTATTTGCAAAAAATACTAATATAATGTAGAAAGAATATATCAACAAGAACGTATCTAAATCAAAAGAGATTTGGCTCTTCTTTAATTCATTAGTAAAAAAATTATTTAAAACATAATTATAAATTAATATTTACATACATAGATATTTTTATTATATATTATATTCTAAACTAATATCATCTGCTAATAATGACAAGTATAAATAATTTAATTTTATGTATAACCAATAATTACTCTCCCCTAGAAATGTAATATTAAGATAAATAACACAATTTAAAAAACAGTATAATATTTAATCTGATAACGAAAGAAGTACTTACAAAAAGTCTCATCATTTACGAAATCACGTGCCGAAGACACCGTCGAGACAATTGATTCTGCGATACTCGTCCGTGGAAACGCGCAATAGACTCTACGATGCTTTCAAAGTCATGGCCAACTCTTTATATACCAGCACTACTTTCTCCCTTCTCTTTATTACGTTGATTCTAACAATCCGCTATATTTAAGTGCACTCTTGCATGTGCAAATATGCCAGCTGCATCTGTCTGCACGAATATAACGATAAATACCGAAAGTGTAATCCCGACCCTAACGTTCTTCACGTTCACCAACTTTGAAATGCATGAAGTAAATTATCAAAACTTTATGTTAGCTATGTAATTTGCGATATACCTAGGATTTCTGAGTAGATAATAAGCTATTCGTCCGCATATTAATTACCTCTTCATACTTAAAATTATTAAACATGTATATAAACGTATTTTGACAATGGTAGAATGTAACAAGACTATAACAAGTAATACTTTCTAACTATTTTATTAATTAAAACCATTGTCTTGAATCTAAATACTATAATGAAGCGATTTGATGAAAAGGAATCTTTAACAGTTATCGCATATTTTAAAACATATATATGTATTTTATTGGTTTTATTAGACATTTGTAGCAAATCTTCTTTAGCAAAGTTGAAACTGATCCTTTTATCAATCACTAGAGTATTATATCGAAAATTATATGTATAATACTTAATTGTACTTTTTGTTTTCTTTATTTTCTGTAAATAAGTATTATATATAAGTATTATATGTAACATAATTTTTATTATGCAGAATCTCTAGATAAGACAAAGATTATCCATTTAAATCGTTAACAAATTAATAGTTAATCTTGTGTTAAAGTAAAACAAGATAATGTGTAATAATGTTAGTAGCTTGTTGCACGCATCATTACACTAAATACGTGAATAGTAATTTTAAATTGCACATTATGTAAAAAATATTATAAATTCTATACTATTAAATTCACTTGTATTAATATAATCTTTATGTAATTACATATAAAAAATTTTCATAAAATTGGAGAAAAGACTATTTTCTTCTATTTCGAATGACTGATGTTAATAAAACTTAAAGATAATAAAGAGAGAGAGTGATCATTATTGACATTAACAAAAAGTTATACGATTGCGTATAAAACTTTTCATCTGTTTACTGGCTGTTATATTGTAGCTTTTAGAACCGGGAATTATCATAAATTAAAGTCAGGGCTAATGACTTTAGCAGGCAAACATCAGGGGTCTTTATGCTATTTTCAGTGCTTCAACGCTATTTTCACTAATGATGAGAGAAGATAAAAGGGGCAGATATAAACGCACTGTATATAATGACAATCTGTACGCTTTATCATTTTTACTGTCACTTCCACTGCTTTCAACAAATTATTCTTCCAGTGATAAATCAGGTAATAAAGTAATTCTCACAATCAGACACAAGGAGAGAGTCTCTCTGGTGCAGTTACATGCAATTGTTTTTCAGATGCGCTATTCTTTCATGCTCGCAGTTGCGTGCGTCAGCTCGTGAGACGAAGATCAACGTAAATGTGGTAATGTCATGGTCTAGTTTACTTGTGCAACAATCTGTGAATAAACATTTCATGATTGCAATTCACCAAAATGCAGATGTTCACGCAACAAGCAGAATGCTGTGGGAGTACATCTTATTATTTCACTGAATGGATTATTTACACGCCTAATGTTGCATAACTAATACTTTCTTCTTTGAATAAAATTTAAATCTAATTAAACAGTTTAATGTGCCATTCATAGATTTTAATATGTCATTCAGAATTATGTCATTTAATTTAGAATTAAATATGTCATTAAGATCCAAGATGCAATGAACATCAAAAATTGTTAGATTGTTAGTCGATTTAACTCGTGATAGTACTGCGGTGATTTATTAGTTTGCGTTGTAAGTCTGAAAAAAATTTCGGCGCTCATTTAAGGATCTACATACGTAGTGTATAAATTCACACAAAATTATATTAGAAACATCCAAGATCCAGCTTGACCGTAAATGGCTTATTCTCGTCGATATGTAGTTTAAACAGTTTTGGTCTAGTAAAATTAGTCTCCCCTCATATACAACAATCTATGTTGGTATATGTTTGAGAGCTAATAGAAAACTAAAAACATTACGTTAATTTTTAAAAACGTCTGTTATTAACATATGAAATAAATTTGCTGGAGTATCTAAAAATTTAACTAGATACAAATCTAAAAATAATTCTGTTGGACCATCAAAATAATTATGTAAGAAACTTAAGCATGATAAACAACGCTGCAAAAAGTTAATATTCTAACAACCAGTTCGAGTGTTCTACATATAAATTATTTGGTAGTTCAACAAAATTATCGTTAAATTTGTATCTAACTACGTTTTTGATACTTTAGCAACCGTTTCTATCATGTAATAGATCCATTTTTTAAAAACATTTTGCTCTGTTACATAAAATATCTGTTACTCTTCTAATAACAAAATAATTTTTTGAGCAAGTAAAAAGCATTTAGTATTTTTCTAACGGTAGTGGACCATAAATCGTAGTACATATGTATAACATCGCAAGTGATAAAGTGATAAAACGGCTAAAGGCGTTATAGCATGGCTACATCAGGTCGACGTAGATAATCGATGCAGATCTCTTGCTGGTAATGATTTATGAAAGGCACCAACCAACGCCGAGGGTGTGGTCGCGCGACAGCGAGAGGGGATTAAGATCTGAAGATTTGAATCATGTACGATGCTATCGTTGAGCGGAACAGTGAAAGTGCATCTCAAGTAAAAGTGGTTTCGCACGTCGATGTAAGAACGTGCGCCACGCTCATTATGGTGAATCGGGATCGTACGCGAGCCTCCCTCACGGTTATTGCAGCCAGTTTCTTTCTAGGCGATCTTAATCAAACAGTCAGCGAGGAAACGAAATAGTAGATTATATATTTTTACAAATTATATTTTGTAGATTACATTTATGTTGCACGGAAATTTATTATATCGGACAAGAAAGCGAGTATGATAATCCGACTTTTTATCGAGTATCCAATATTAAATAACAATTAGAATATTAATTTATTATTAAAATAATAAATAATAAAGTAATAATGTAAAAGTAAATAGTAATATTGATTTAGAAATAAATTATATTTTAAAAATCAAACTCAAGTTTTATTTACTTGGAATGAAATACTTTACCTTGGTTTTTTAAATACAGTATGGAAAATATATTAATTATTGTGGGTGGGACTACAGATTTAAATCATCTTGTTTAACCGAAAGTTAATGTTTAAATTAACAGGTAATAAAACACTTTATGTTGTCAACATTTATTAACAAATATTAAAAAATTTATATGTATATTTTATATTAATAAAAACTTAACAACATGTAACATGTAACAAATCATGTAAAAAAACATGTAATAAACTTATATCTATAGAAAAGATTGCCAGGTTAAAAAAACCCTACAATAATAAATTCTATAACATAATATGTGTTATAGAATTTAACATTTCTTTCTAATTTTAATCAACAATAAATATAAATATCAAGAGAAAATCTACATATAATTATTAATAATAAATTCAAATTAAAAAATTCTCAAGATATCACAAAAAATTTGCATTAATACAATCGTTGAACTGGCTGAAATTGAAAAGAATTTTTCCGTACGACAAATTCTTTGATCGAATGCGATTATAAGTTAATACGTAATATTCGTGAATTCTATTTCCATCCTTTACCCTTGGAAGACGTATAATGGACCACATGTTTGTAGATCGGGATATGAACAGCATATGGTTTCGCCACTGGCACGGGGAACTTCTTCTCCACATAAACGGCATATGGTTTTTCCACAACATAAGGAACCTGAGAAAAAAATATAGTAACGAATATAAGATATATTCGAAATATAACCAATATAACTTCGAAATACAACCAATTTGGAATTTTCTAATAATCGCGCGCGTGAAGAATAAAATAATAATAATAATAAGAGAGAGGAAATGCTTATTAGATTAAAAACGTTTACTCAAATTTCGTACTGATTATAAGTTAGAAAACATAAATAGCTTAAAAGTATCAGAAATCGGGAATTAAACTTACATGCTTTTCAATAATAACAGGCTCTGGTTTTTCAATGGGTATCTCGACGTGTTTAATGACTTCCACTGGATATGGGTGAGGGATTTCGATTGGCACCTTATATGGTTGAGGCACTGGTATTTTAATTTCCTTGGGCACTTCAACAGGTACAGGATGCGGAATAGGTATAGCTGAAACAAAACAATTATGCAATTGCATTTACAATATTATGCATATATTCTTCATCAAACTTATTAACCACTTCTATCCTCTGTCTTAAGAATGATTAATTGTATTATGATAATCTAATAAGATTAGAAATTTAAATTAATATTATTGAAGAATAAATTTACCAAATTTTTTAATAATTGGAATTTCCACAGCTTTCGTTTTCTCTTCATACGTTGTACTACCATGATCCTCAGCCAAATGGCTAGCCAACACCATGTTGCCAAACAAAGCGAGACACAAGAAAACCTGCAATTTTACATAACTTATATTTAATAAAAATTTGGAAAAAATATTACAAAATTGTATTATTTTATTAATTATTTTATTTTTAAGAATAATTTTAATAATTACTATATATTAAGCATAATATTATTACACAATATGTAAGAATTCTCTCTTTTTTTATAATAAACTTCCACTTTTTTCTTTTAATATATATATCAATTAGCACTGTTTAACACATTAAACACACAGTTATTGCACAATATGCAAACGAATCTTACAATTTTATTCATGTTGATTATTTTATGGGGCTGGTAATGTGAACACGAGAAATCAAGCGTTGAATGACTATGTCCTCCAAAGACCGACTTTATATACGACTTCGATTCCACCACCTTTCACTAAAATCCTGATAGAGTTCCAATTGCCCAGGATATATCACGTGGCATTTTGCATCGTGCAAGAATATTTATCGTATCAGAAATGACTCTATCCTATTAACAAGATAAATATGAAGATTGTCATGCGGACACACATGAGAGACTATCTTCTTTCTTTGGAGACGTATCGGTCCATTGCAATGCGACATGCGTTTTTCACATAAATTACACTATGATTATGCATATATATTACAAAACGTTGAGAATAGAGAAAGTGTAGACGATAAGCAATTCGTGACTTGGTTGCGCCACTTTATAAAAACTACTTTTTATAGAAATTAAGAAACAAGCGCATAGCCAATTAATTATAAGTTTTTTTCCATTTGTACAGATTTTTTTATGATAAAGATAAAATATCAGCTTATTTTAGATAAATTACGATTTAGATCAGAATTCAAGATAAAATTTAATCTTAATTCTGATGTAAATTGAAAGACATATTAATTACTTATTTGGAGTACTAAAAGACACACAACAACGATAATTTTGATACTTAAAATAAATGATTATTTATTGTCTTTCAGTATTACATTGATGAATATTAAATTTGCCAGAATTACATTTTTTTATGTATTTTTTTATCATTGTTTAATTATAAAGTTTCAAATGTCCTATAGTATTAATATATTCTATAATTTTATATGTAATGTGTTGTATTTTAGAAATAGTTACAATATTCCAACTTTATTATTCAATAATGTATAATAATAAGCTATTATTTGGGATGTGATCATTTAATTAAGTTAATGTAAGCATTACATAATTATCACGGGTTTAACCCAATTATCCAAGAAAATACAACCGACAGATGTGTAAATGTTAAGATATTCCGTGAGAGGACAATTACGGAGATATCTTTAGGCAAATGTAAATGCTCCCCATTGTTATACGTTTACCGGAAGTGAAGGTACCACATGTACAATCTTCGAGACTTTTCGATTTCTGTGGAATGTATTAAATTATGTTAAATCACTATATGTTGGCTATGAATGGGTCTAAATTTACTAGCAAACAACGAAACGTCTCGGTTGTTACTCGATATAATTACTAATTTTCTTGAGACAAATGACTAGAATAACTAACTAGAAATATTTTTTACTGCAATGATTTGGCTTGATAAACACAAGAATTTGATTTCCGTTCACTTACATAAATGGAAACCTTCCGGGAATCACGCAGCAAGGTAGGTCCCTCTGTATGTTGTTCTTAGATTCAACTAGGAAGTGAACGCAAAGCATACTCCTGCTTAGAGAGACGTTTCCAGACGATACATTTTTTGATACATCAGAATGAAAGTATGAAACACAACGCCCCGTGAAAGGGTTCCGGCTGGAACACCGATCGAAAGACATTCGACATTCAACTGTGAAAGGCGACGTGAAATAATTTTTAAAAATGGATTAATAGTACTCGAAGATATTCTATACCCGATAATTGATATCGGATAAAATAAAAAATTACGATCTCTACAGTAAGGAGTTTGTTGCATTTGCAATATTGACGTCGAAAGAAAGTTTTTGTAAAATTCAGGTTGAATAAATTTACAATTGTATACATGTAAATGCATATCTTATCTTATCTTTAAAATCTTATCCTCAATCCTCTAAAACGAATGTAAATATTAATGCCAGTAAGGAAGACACAAATTAACAATATTTTTATGTTTAAAAATATATTTAAATATATATATATAATATTCTTCAAAAATATATATATATATTGAAATGATATTAGATGAAAATGGATAAAAAAATATTCAATACAAATAAATACTTTATTTAGTTAAAACGAGTTTTTGTGTTTGATAATATTTTTTGTGTAATTCTTTTTGTATTTTCCGATTCTCAAGTAAATTGCCGTTTATTTGTTGGTAGAACACATTATTCTTGAAACACAATCTAGACTAAAACTGGAGTATGAATATTACAAATTATAAATTGACAAGCAATTTAATATTATATTGATAACTAAAAATACATTTTAATAATTTAATTATAGTATAATATTATGTAATTATTTATTAATAGTGTATAATTATTTCAGCGTTTATTATTTATCAACGTTTTACAATTATTTACTTATATACTTTTATTGTTGCTTATTAAATACATCGAAGTGGTAAGTGTGCAATATTTTGCGAAAAGAAAACCGTAAATTAAAAAATAAAAATTACATTAACTATCAAAAATATTTAATAACAAAAATCATTAGCAATTTAATGTTCCAGTTTTTACACAGTCATGAAATTCTACTTTCCGGTTAATTATTCACGTGGCAGGTTTATCATACACGGAAGGAAATGTGTTCCTAATGCGTGGAGAAACTTCGAGGCGACTTTGAAACGAAGAGTGAAGATCCCCTCAATTAATGTCCACGATAGAATAATATCGCTAATTCGCTCTCATGGAAAATTGGACGAACTTATGATCGCTGAAACTCACGATCTGTCACTCACGGTAGTTTAAGTCCGCGCTCTAATTCAATCTCAATTAGCCATCGGTATGTACTAATGTCGCAACAGACGAGCACTGACCTACAACCTCTGACATTGGAGAAAGTATAAATTTGGTCGTGCTTCTTAAACATGACAGAAATTATATCGTTGAAGTCAATCAATCTCTACGTACATTTTTTGTTATTGCTTCAAATAATGAAACCTGAAGTCTCTTTGTATTCATTATTATTACGTAATATATGTTTACGTAATATTAATTTATTAGTTAAAAATTTGTGACACAGAATATGGTAAGAAATAGTACAGTTTGTATAATATAAGACTCCTTGTGAAAAAAGATTGAATTAGTATTTAATTTATAAAAATTGAGAAATACATTTATACTGATATATGATAGAAATTTTTAATTAAACAAGTTAAATACTCTTTTTGAATAGAGAGGTAATGCACCAGAAGATTTCTCATAATGTTAGAGAAAGAAAGAGAGAAAGAGAGGGAGAGGGAAAGAAGGAAAGAGAACATTACCACGGATTCATAATTCTTCTTCAACGCATTTAAATAACGAGCATGAGTCAAGGAATCCGCCGGAAACGTTGAAAAAGGAAGCTAGCAAAGGTAGTTCGCGCGACGGGAGGGAAAAAAGACTTACAGCGAAAGTAAAGTTCAAAGTCGATTTGCTCCGCCGACAATCACCACGATCGTGCCGTGCCGCAAAAAGAGGAACCGCCCGTTGGTGATTGTATATTAAAACGTTCCTTCCTGATTCATACTAGCCCCAGGTTACCTACTCATGCGGATATAATGCGTGTATCTACAGATGTACTTACTCGATCGGCTTTCCTATAATTGAAGGGAGTCGATTTCTTCCCACGTCATAGAGTAATCGCATGCAATTATAATGTTACAAGCTGCTCATAGTTTACTTTAAAATAATACATTTACGAAGCTGTATTTGTAAGGCGATCACAAAAGTCCAAGTAGAATGAAGTTATATCTAGAATCTTTTTTGTTCATGCAGCCTTTTTTTGCTCTTTAGAATTTTCATGTTATTAAGGTATACACATTAAGATGGTTTAACGGATATTACAGCTTAATCTGAGATTACAGCTTAATCTGACGGTACGGAAATGGAATGATAAGGTTTGCGCGACCGCAATCACTTCAAGTATTACCCAGACATCAAAGCGCTATGAGTGGTATGACGTTTTTTGTTACGTGTCGCGATAGATCACTCTTCCTCCTTTTACAACGATCAACACCACCACCATGATCGGAGAAAGACTAAATCTACAAGACTTCCCTTTCGCTGCTACTTTAAAGTACTGTTGTGCGTTCTCCATCGTTGTTTTGATGTGTACAGAAAAAAGGCATTGTTGTTACATAATTTTTTAAATTTAAAATTCGCTTCGATTTCACATGTTTGCCGTCTATCTCTGCTTTGAGTGGGGTGTCTTGTAATTAAAATATATTTTCTATCACGCGCCGAGGTCTTTCCACTTGCAGCTACCTTAAAGAAATGAAAGATGGAATTTGCACTTCACTTTCGCCATGTTGGTTTCGCCCACTCGAGGTGCTCTGTTATTTCCGCTTTGTTTTTGCAAAAACATAATATTGCACAAAAGTATTGTATAAATTTAAATAAAATTATTAAGAAAATATTAGGAAAAGTAGAAAGTGCATGTGTGTGGAGAAATGTAAGGAAAAATATGAAATGCAACATGACATACAAAATGATATTTTTTTAACAATTTTACTAAACGTTTGCGTCTAGTAAGCATTGAGTATCTACGAAACATTAAGATCCAATCAATTCTTAATTAACTTGACTAAATTACTTTACATTAACTACTTTACACTCGGACTTCATGTTTCAGACTCAACAGATTATTTTTATGAAAATATTCTTTTATTTGGTTTCCAACCAGTATAAGTTATTCAGAATTGCTTGAATAAAAACGTCTTTTTGACAAGATATATAGGCAGTTGTGGAAAAAGGAATAAATCGCGAATTTCCGTTCTCGCAACATTTCATTTTCACATTAGATGGAATCAATCAAGCTACTTTTCCGAACAGTGTGTTTAGCATATACATAATTATACATATAGACTTAACATCCAGCGAGAATTATTCGAACGGTGAAACTTTTTGTGTCACTTATTATTGCACTTGAGAGAGAGAGGGAGAAGGAGAGGGAGAGAGAGAGAGACTAACTGCGTTCGGTAGCATGCAACGAATCATTTGACAAATTAGTCTTTTCATAACGTAGCTTTATTTAATGATAGATACTTAATGCTTATAACACGCAAACGTTTAGTAAAATTGTTTGAAGATATAATTTAAGTATAAATATCTTTCTTACAATACTTGAAAAATTCATGGCCATAAATATTCTATAAAAATAACAAGCATGATATTCTTGAAGCTTCACGTCGTTAATATTTTATTAAAATTTAGCACGAGATTTTAAATAGTAGAGGTCTCGAATTATCATGGTATTATTTAAATTATGTCCTACAATTTTTTATTCGTTGGTTTTGCTTTTCATAAAACAACTAACACGTTAATTGAAAATTTAAGATATAATTTATATTGCCTTTAGTAAATTCAATATCTGCCGAGCACTATAATTATACAAAAATTTGCATATATAAAAATTTGTTTAATAAAATCTAATAAAATAAGTAACAGATACAATTCGGAGGTAATAAAATAGAACAAGGTTTTTAATCTTTTAATGTAAATATTTTAATAAATAATTTCACTGTGTTGCAATATTGAAAAATATTCATCTTCCCATACCGTGTATACATTTTCTATTAAATATATTAAATAAATCAATATAACAAGGAGAAATTGTAAGGCAAAAAATCAATGCTTGATTTTATGCACGATGGTTTTGTAGATCGGAATCTTGATCGGTATTGGCTTTTCGACCGGTACTGGCACGTGTTTTACCACGTGAAATGGTACCGGCTTTTCGATTTTCACCGGAATTATTTTCTCAACAGGCGTCGGTATCTTCTTCTCTACGGTTTTAATCACCTGTTTCTCCACCTAAAAGACAAAAGACTACTTTCAGCAAGGGAAGTGATAAGAAAAGTGCAAATTTTAATGCAAAAATGAAGGTAATTATCGCGTGATTACCTGGAATGGTACAGGCTTCGGAACTACCACAGGAACAGGATAAGGCTGTGGGAATGTTTCCACCACCGGATGCGGTATACTAATTGGAATTGCCTGGACTGTCGGTATCCCTATATCACCATGGAAATTATACGACATAAAAATAAAACTAGTTACTTAAAATGCATTATTTATTAGTAACAAGTAGTTTTAAATATTAGTAACAAGTAGTTTTAAAGCAGTGATAAATAGTGCAAATCATTATTATATTACATATATAGATAAACAATTATATAATATAAATTCAATATATGATATGTTATAAATTTATTATTATATTACATATTTATTAATTTAAATTTATCATCAATCAATTAATATTGCTCTTTAGTTTTAGATGTAATAAAACTAATCTGTCAGTTTATCATATCTTGTATGAACATACAAGACATACGACACGTGTAAATATACTTTTATCTAAAATGTAGCAATATTTCAATAATTATTATTATACATAAATACAAAATTATAAAGGTCAAGTAAGCGAGTAGAAATCTATTTCAGTAGACAATTGTCAAATTAATAAGATGTACGAGTTATATACATTTAATGTATTTTAATCAGCGGAACGCTTCAACTGAACAATGTTCTCATCACCTTTTACACAAATTTAACAATAAAAAAGAGGAAAATTTTTATTTTTGTTTGAATTTTTGTAGAAGTTGCTGGATTTTGTTAAACCGAAGCGTCTTATTGATCGAAATTTATTAAATATATGTATAATACAAACGTTTTTTTAACGTAATCTGCTCATATATCTACTTATTTACTTTGATCTTTTCAACTTTAAATACATTTGCATTTTAATACAAATTTTAATACATTTTTATTATTGATTATTATGCTTAATATTTACATTAATAAAGTTCATGCATTTTCTATTACCGATATGTTTAACAGTGGGAATGACATTGACTCCGTGAAGACCGCTGGTGGCCAAGTGCCAATCACTAATTTTTATTGGTAGGTGACCTCCCAATAAATCTAAGGAATGACTTTCTAAAATTCAAAACAATTTGTCAATCAATTTATTCATCAAATCGATACAAGGACACTTACGTGATAAGCTGCATGACATATGTTATAATTAATTACGATAAATCGATCCCTGGTTACTCTGTTATCGTTCATACAACTTTTATGCATTAGAAAATACATTTCAGAGATAATCGTGGAATTAATAGGCAACTAAAAATATATATGTTCACAAACCTGTTCCTCCCAAGTCATGATGGTCTAAAGAAATTTCTCCCAGTGTAAGCCCACCACCGCCATAACTTCCAAAGTCCCAATAGGAACTGTAGGAGCATGCGATGACTCCCAACAGTACAATCTTAAATATGAAAATATTACACAAAAACATGATATTTTTGCTATTACTTTTAAATTAAAAGAAATTATTATGTAACTGTTACACAAGTTGCACGAAACGCGTTTCATAAGATCACATAAGGTTCAAATAATTAAAAATATAATAATTGTTAAATACGAAATTGTTTATATTTTATTACATTTTATTACATAACGAAGATAGGCCTTTACGTACAATTTCTTTCATTTCTTATTTAAAGTATTTCTCTCGTCAATGAATAGATAGTCTACTCTCGGGACAGATTCTTTTGTCGTCACTTTATATACCGCCTACGGAAAGAAGCAACCCCACTATTCTTCGAAATGGCCCCACCGTAAATGTTATAAATCGCTCGATTGAGGAACTAATCATTTGCAGTCACTATTACGCGGAAATATTGCATAACGTTTAATACTTGCGATTCCGTTTATAATTGTTGCCTTATCTTTCCATTAACTCGTATTTTTTAATTCATAAATTTAATTTTTTGTCTTAATCTTGGATATTATGTTTTTGTGCACAGATTTTTTATAAAGAATAATTTTTCTTTAATTAATATTAAGCAAGATTAGTCCAAAATTAATCCAAAAAACTTCTTTAAAAAGTCAAAAGTATATTTTCTGGAGCTTTGAACAATTCTTTATTATTTTATAAAAACAAACAATTAAAAACGAAACGGCGACACAGCATTTTTTTAAACATATATTTTAAATAGTATTAAGTTAAAATATTAAGAAATTACAATCTTTTAACAATACTTTCATATTTTTTTAAAGGTATTTTTTATCCCGCAAACTCATGAATATTTCTTCCTTCATCGTCGTTTTCTCGGTTATTTTTTATTGTTGGAAACAGGAATTGACGGACTCATCTTGTTAGAAACAACGATGCTGCCGATGTCATGGATGATTTGTTCCATGCGACCACGATGATCCCGTACATTGCGGGCAAATCAATCTGTCTAACATCCACTTTCCACGGAATTCTCGTGCTTTTATCGAAAATCACAGTGAAAGCCTGTCACGAGCACTTCTCGCGCTCTACGCGACCTGCAAAACACATACGGATTGTAAGAGATGCTTGTTTGACTATTATTACTATTACCGACGCAAATTTGCTATGGATTACCTTCGTTAAAAAATGACTAAATTTTACAGTGAAAAATTACTTTGCATTACTCACAAGTTTAAAGAAACTTAAATCGCACTTTTAAAACTAATGGATACATAATTATTTAAAGAATAAATAATAAGTATTAAACAATTTTTAAAAAATAATATAAAAATAACAAGGATACAATAAATAAAAAATTAGAGTATAATTTTTTTATAATTCACAAACGTGTACTTATCAAAAAAGGAGAATAATTATTAAATAGATATTGAACGATCAGACGCTAATTAAAATGCATATTTAAACTGTTTATGTTATTATATGCAATAAATATATCGCATGATTTCGAACTCAATCGGATCGCTTATCATTATCGTAAGCAATAGGAGTAACAGTCTTTAATTATATTTATAGCGAAGCTCGTTATCTTAATTTTCCATCCCAGCACTTTCTGACGTACGTGCAGAGATAAAAAGCATATCGACGACATACTTTCACTTAATAAGAACAACAAAAGTACTTAGTTTTGTAAGCATTTTATTCAAAAACGTAACAGAACAAAACGTTAAAAAAGTAGCTTAACAACGCGCTAGTAGCACTGACGATTACAAATACGCGTATATACAAAAAAATAAAGCAGAGTTGAACTGCGCTCGACCAAGCGAACATGGGCTGTTTTTCGTGAACTTTCTCCTTATTGACGGCATGTAGTGCTATGAGGATTTTAGGATAGGCGAACGTATCAGTCAATTAGGATTCAAGTTAATTGATTCTCACAATTTCGTTCATCATGTTACCGTTTAAAATAAAATAAATTTTTAATAAACGGCCAGTAGCAAATGCAGCCGAATTAACTCTCAGCAATCCAAGCACTCAGTAAAATATTCAACTGTACGTAGCTATTTTTTAGAGACAGAGAGCATATTTCTTTTCAACAAACGTAGGACTGCTGTAACAGCGTCTTCGAGTAAAAAAGAAGATATTTTTATACAGAGTACACACCCTCTCGCTTCTCAGTCACTTAAACTAGTATTTTTAACGTACATGTTTCTGCGTGCTGTAATCGATGGGTGCGGTCCACTTAACGTTCTACAAATAGAAGTACTTCAAAGCATTTGATTGAACAATCAGAAGGAAGAATTTTACTAATTAATTAATAAGCAATTAACTAAGTACGAGAAGCACCATTTACGGTCAAAGTTGAATGTTAAACTAATACATGTATTTTAGATAAATTTGTCTCAAAATCAAAGAATGCTTCAAAGCATTTGCAGCATTAAGTGGACCGTAACCTATAAAATTAGCTCGGTTAAAAGATGAGGATTGCTAAGAGTTATTTCTAGAGTGTGGTTCACTTAACACTACAAATGCTCCGAAGCATTTGATTAACCAATCAAAAAAATGCTTCAAAACTTCTATAGTATCAAGTAGGCTATAGTTTTAGTCTGTGTTCCAAAATTCACTGTAAGCGTTAAAAATCTATAGTTTACATTATGTGCATAATAGATTTTCAGCACTGCCGAATTTTGGAACATAATCCTAGGCTATATGTACCACGTTCTTCTCTATCCATAGAAATCCTCCATGCCGTAGGCACACTTTAATGCTTCTTCGCATGATGATAAATAGTCTTGTAAACGGGAATCTTGATGGGATATGGCTTCACAACTGGGACGGGGATGTGTTTCTCGATTGTGATGGGAACTGGCTTCTCGATGGGTACCGGTATGTGCTTCTCTACGGGGTAAGGCACCTTTTTCTCTACCGGAATTGCTATCGTCTTTATGACTTGTATGGGAATATGCTTCGGTATGGGGATATGAACGGGATACGGTTGCGGAATGCCAACTGCTACTGGATGCGGCACAGGTATCGGCACTGATTTCGGGATCGGTACACCTGAAAGCAAATGATTCAAAAGAGATAAGAATGAGTCTTTAGACTATAAACGACAAAGCAAGCATAAAGAGTACTTGAATTTTGTTAAAATATTAAAATTTACGTTAATAAAAAAAAAATGTCGCGAATTTTTTTGGATACATAATAAGAGACTATAACACTAATTAAAAATTATATGTGCACATAGTCTTAAAAATAGTAGCAAATTATTAACTTTTGTCTACTGACAAATAACCAATATTAATAATAATAATAATAATTGTGGTCTTCTAACTGATTCTCTATAATTATTATATAGTAAAGAGATAACTTTTTATAAAGCTGTAATAATTCCTAATTCTATAACTTTCAAGTACAACTTGTAATTCAGGAAGGGTGTAATAGTACGTTACCAATGTGTTTGTAGACTGGTATAGCAACGGGCTTCGTCACTTCGACATGCTCTGAGACGGGGACACTGTGAACATAATTATGTCCACTGTCTAACGAGATTCCATGGCCACCATCTCCACCGCTGTGACCACCGTCGAATCCACCACCGCTAGAAGAGAAATCTTGATGACCACCCTCGAGACCACCACCGGATTCTAGATGTCCGCCAGAACTAGGTTCGAAACCACTACCCCCATGGCCACCCCCAACATCACCACCCCCATAACCACCTCCATAACCACCTCCATATCCACCTCCATAGTCACCCCCGCTACCGGAAGTACCGGAGATTTCCTGATCAGATCGGTCGATCGCATAGTGGCCGCTAAATAGTTGCAACATATAGTGCCTTCCATCTTGGTCCACGAGTACCGGCGTAGCCGCGGCCAAGGACACCAGAGAAAGCAGCACCTGTAAAAGATGCATTTAAAAAAATTGGAAAGTGCGATGATAAAAAATCCGCCAACAATACATATAAATGTGAAAATATATATAAATATGAAGAAATTAATTTTTCCCCCAATGAATTTATTCTTTGCACAAAATATAGATTCAATATATTGAGAATATTACGTATACTGTGATAAAATTAGCAAAGTCAAAGGACAAATTAATTAAACGTACGATAAGATTGACGTGATCTTGAGAAAATGTCTAACAGATTAATGGTCTAACTTCAATTCAGCATTTTAAACAGATATTTTAAATTATGTTATCTAGAAATCAGTATTTTACTCAGTACTTACTATTCCGCTCATGCTGCCACGTGTTTCTATTAGTGCGCTTCAAGTTGCAAGTAGCGCAAGTCTCTAGAACGACTGATACATCTTCGTCCATTTCCCATCTTAATATACCGCGAGGCCTTTCACTATAGACGATGTGATTTCGTCTCGCTTCGCACTGAGGCGAATTATACCCACCCGGTGCAATTGTTTCACTGCAGTCTACTCAGCGTGCGCGTGAAAATAATTGACCGTGTCCTCGCGGCCTTCACATTGACAACGAATCGGACATTTCCTATTCCGTTGTACAGGTGAGCGTCTACGAACGCGGATTTCCACGTTCACCTAGGTTTACTGTCTACCACTTCATCGTTACACCAACTTCTGATATGGAGAAGTTCGTTAAATTATATATGTATTCGTCATGGGGGATCGTCCATCACTTAATCATTCTAATTTCACGTATTAAAACGATCGTTTTTATTTTTTATCACGTTATTAAGTATGAAAAAAATGTCTTCCGCTATTGCCGGAACAGACATCTATTCTAATTGTTTAAGTAAACACTTAATTTTCCCATGAAATACGTGATTGCTACTTCTCATTGATTACTATTTAACAAACAGCTATAATGTGATTACGTGTTAGTATTATAATTAAATTACTTTACATTTAATAAAATAGATAATAAGACAAAAATTCAAGAATGTTTAAACAATTGCATAAAATTTTTAATTTATGTATTATATTTATTTACAACAAAACTTTCTTATAATTCAAAAATGTTTAAGTTAAAAAGTATTTATATTTTTAATATAATAAAGAGAAATTAATGTAATTTGATTCATCCTTTCACTTTTAAGCCTCATTATTTCTAACAAAATTGATAACCATCTTATGTGACAAATAGCAATATAATTACAAAACGCGAAAGGCTAATTTTAGTGCGCGCGTATAAATTTTAACTGTGTGTGAAGAGAGCATAACGAATATGTGAATGATGTACCCAGCTATATAAACTAATTTTTTAATATTATAATAATTAGCAAGATAACGTAATGAGCTATGCTAAGTGAGCTATGCGTGCCGTCCTTGATTTATGAAATTTTCTTTTAAACTTTCAAAAGTCTGGCGGGATTTGATCTTGGTAGAATCTTTTTCTAAAAAAAAAGAATGAAGCTTAATTTTTTTAGAAGATGAAACAGAACAAGTGTGAAAATTTTCATATTAATTTGTCAAAAAGTTTATTATATAAAATAACCACGCATGATAATTTCCAATACGAAATGATGATTAAATCGTCTTTGCATGCTTTAAACATAATTTACATATAGATATTATGTACCTACCTCTACCTAGAGGCAATCAAGAACGATTAACTACCAGGAGAATGCTTTATCTCTTGTAAATCATTAGAAAGAATTGGATATAGAAGGCAATCATATACAGAAGTAAAATTAATAAGAGCATAAAATGAACACTTTCCTATCTTGGTTTCCTAAAGTCGGAAAAGGAATAAAATTACTAGTTTATTGAGCTGTGATCACTTCCCATAAATCCAAAACGTAATATATAGTTTATAAAATATTAAATTAAACGTAATTCAAAGGTACGATATAAAAATATATATATATAATATATTATAAAGATTTCAGAGCAGCAATCTGCAATAATTACAATTACTATAGTTTTAATTTTTATAATTTATTACGATCTCGTATGATAACACATTGTGGAATTTATACGGAAATGAAAGGAAGTGAAGGTTTACTGTGACATAAATTACTCTATTTACAAAGCTATTAATTTATATATGTAGCATATCACATAATTATAATTTATTATATATGAATCTTGAGTAAATTTATTATCTTTTTTATTGTTTTTATGTTTATATATATACAGACATATATAATTTAATATAAAGAATGCATACAAATATTTGCATACCACACACATAATTACACAGTCAACTTTTACATATATTAAAAGTAATTGCATTTGTTGTTTTTAATTATTTATATTCTTTTTTCTTTTTAATTCCCTAAAAAAATATATATTAATTATATATAAAATTATATATAAAAATATATATAATTATAGGTTTTCTAGAATAATAAATTTAAAATGTCTGACAAATTAATAATGTTATCAATTTTTATTACCAATATTTTGTTACATTTCTTAAAAGATAAAGAATCTTACATATAACAAAAAAGATGTATTTATTAAGTAACATTATTATTTGGCAATAATGAACAATGCTTGCTAACAAGATAAGTACAATTGTGCTACAGTGCTACTAAAAAACAAGCAAGGAAGCGAATATTGCTTTCACGTCATCAAGTATAACCATCTTGTCAACAAGACTTGTAACTCAAGAAAGATGAGTTTACTTTCGCTATCTATTTGTCTTTGCGAGAAAATGTTCCACGAATCAACAGTCATTCATGTCATCCGTTGGAATCTCGTTTAATTATAACTAATTATATCTCAACTTTCTTCAATAATACCATTTGTGACCGCGTTTCTTTGTTTTTCTTCGATGGAAGATGTGCTTATAAATTGGTATGTGAATCGGATACAGTTTTTCCACTGGAACGGGCACATGCTTCTCAATAGTTATTGGCACCGGCTTTTCCACGGGCACCGGTATGATTTTCTCCACCGGATATGGGACCTTCTTCTCAACTGGAATCGCGATGGTTTTTATAACCGGCACAGGAATATGCTGAATGACCGGCACGTGGACAGGATAGGGCTGAGCAACACCTACCGCCATAGGATGAGGTACAGGTATTGTTACGTGGTGTGGCACTGGAATTCCTGTAATTTCAAAAAACGGATAATTTAATTACTTTGTGTTTTCTTTTCTGCTGATCAAAGCATCAAAATTGTTTAGAAAAATTAAGCATTTTTTAATCGGTAATAATGTAAAAATATAATAGGAAAAAATGAAGAAATAATATTATTTTCTACAACAAAAATTAGTAATAATTAAAATTTCTAGTTAAAATAATTTTAACTAGAAATAAAATTAGTTAATTAAAAATAAAATTAACATCTCAATATATTCATTATCACATAATGACATTAAATGCAATTTATGTATGTATATATCATATATGCTATAAATATAATATATTTATATTATCTAAATTAATATCATATATAACTAAGAAAAAGTTATGACAATGTATTATCGAGTATGTATGTACATGTATTCATTATTAATTATTACTAATTTTTCATTTTAAACTAATTTAGTTTGAAATGAAAAAAAAGAAGAAAATTCGTTTAATAAATAATTTTGGATAAAGATTTTCGCAAATTCGTTTAATTAAGAAAGTAGAAAGTACCACGTAAAGGATGAAACTTAATACGATTGTAGTTTCATAACATGCTTTAGTATTCAGAGGTGGAAATTGAATTTTTCGCAAATCCGCACATGTGGATCGGATAAGAATTTTTTCATGAATACTATTTTGATCAATCAGATAAGAATTTTTTCATAAATATTACTTTCGTATGGAAACTGCTTTCACTAATAGTGTAAAAAAGGCAGAAATAACGTATTTTTGGCAAATACGTTTATTTATTTTTTTAATAAAATTTATTTTTTATCGATTTATACGTTATTAATAGCAAGAAATATAAATTTCTTGCTATTAATAACGTATAAATCGATAACATTTTTTTTATTAAAATTACGATTTATACTTAATATGACATGAGCTAACGTTTTATTACATCTATTGATATTGTTAAATAATATTATATTATAAACTACATAAGAATGTTTTTGTATTTCTTATGTTACTATAATATTAGATAGTTTTTACTATACGGTAAAATTTAAATTATTTTTTTCTACAATTTCGTTTAATTTATTCTTACTTTTTTTTAAATTTGTGCTAACTTTGCAAATCTTACCAATATTTTTTATAACTGGTACTGGCACTGGCTTTGTAACTTCTACATGCTCGTTGATCGGCACAGCTTGAACGATTGTATGTTGAACATTACTGTCTTTAAATCCTTGATCCATGTCTAAATGAAAATCGCCACCATTTTCGAAGGACGAATATAATCCATGAGAAGGAATATTCTGATGAATATTAAAGTTATGGTCGTTCGAGACGTAATTCGTAATTTCGAAATCAGATAATCTGTAAACATTAGAACAATAATTAGGAATTACAACACGATAATTTGATCTTGACATACATACAACATTAGAGGTAATAAAAACGATTATTAAATCTTCTCCTTTCGTTCCTACTTACCCATGCCATCCAGAATTACCCCCTGACAAGTTAGCAAACGTTGTTTTTATTAATAAGCATAGAGCTATTATCTAGAATAACAAAATGAATCACTACTTTTAAATACTTTAATTGTAATCTTAGTTTTTAATATAATATAATTTCTCACAAATTATTTTATATTAAAGCGAATATGAAAACCTGATAATTACAAAAAATTTAAAAATATACATATAATGGTAATAGATTGTAAACATATATGTATTTGATAACGATATTGCTCAATTTATCTCTAAAAAAATGTAAAACAATTGTTTGTTTTTTTTTATAAAATCATAATAGAAATATATACGGTAGAAAGCAAGAAAATAAATTTTTATGCAAAATCGTTTTGTGATTAATTTTACTAACAGATTTTTTTGTTATTGAAATAATGTACATCGACAAATAATTTAAGTAATAAAAATAAGAAAGTTATTTATATTATATGAAATTATATATCAAATTTTGATTAATCTATTATAAATTTAAGTATACTATCTCTTCCCTACCGTTAGATCAAAATTTAATTATTAAAGTCAAATATGAATGAGCAAAGTAATAGTAGTTTCTTATACAAGAAACATCTTATTTGCGAGCAAACACTCAAAAAAAATTTATCAAAATAGTCTTTCTTCCCTCTAAGGAAAGTGCTGCGCTGGCAACGCGTCGAATTCGATATCATCACTTTTGCGCCACATAAGAATATTCGGAATCTATGAGAACGCTACCGTACTATGTATCGCACACGGAAAGTATGGAAATATATCGACGATCACTTTCCATCGCTATTGTTTGCCGTAAAGCCGGAACTCGTTCGCGAACTGAGTCGGGCAAGGAAACTAAATGCCGTGAATCTCCGCTTCCGCGATTTCCACGCGACTCCCATCACGATCCCCGGAAACCCCCATTTATCTTTTTTTACTTACTGAGGGTAGATGGAGCATTTTTCAGAATACGTCACGAACGGATAACGAATGGAACTGCGGATTTGTTCCGATGGACCGTTCGTTTTTATACATGACGCTTTCTCGTTCTCCCTACCCGTCCGATGGATAGCTGATGGTCTGTCGTGGAAACTGGACACGTGCGTACGCACCTATATCCGATTAACAAGTTGAAAACAAGTTTGGTTCAAGCCTACTAGTTTGAGATTACTAGATCGAAACTGCAAATCTAGTCAACCGAGATAAGAACGTGTTTTCGATGCGATCGTGACATTGCGATATTGCAAGACATTATACCAGCGATCCTCAATCGGGATGCCGCATTAATGATGGTGTATGATATTTATGTTTAACGCAAAAGAATGATAAAATTAGATGACATCACAAAGTACTAGAAATGTTAGTATGCAAATCAGGTTCATCGTTCGCAAAGAAATGATTAATCTAATAATAATATAGGAAAAATGATAAATTGTCTTTTATACAGAGAAAATGGTTTTGCTGAGGTACACGAAAATTAGTCAAGAAAATAATATGTCTAACTATCTAAACAATTACATTAGACGCTTAAAAATGGTTATAGAAGCAAAACTTTTGCTATACTTCATCATATTTCAGCATCTTATCTGAGTATACATAATTATTTTGATGGTCTAATAATTAAAATATAATAATTAAATTAAGCGAACAAAATTGTAGAATAAACATATTAAATAAATTTTTAGATCTACATCTAGTCAAATTTGTATATATTTTAACAAAATCTTTTTTCTGTGTATTTATTGAGAAAGAATTGTTGCAACTTGAAAGCTTAGAAAGTAATAAATTTATAAAATTAACAAATCTCTATCTAAAGTAATAAATAAATTATAATAAAATATAAATTGATCGGAATTGTATCATAATAAATTGTAAGTGTTGTAAAACGTTACTGATATACACACATGAAGTAATTTGATCCATCATTAATAACACAGTTGCTTGCATGATCGAAAGGTGATCAGATTTTTCTATGAATTGCTCATTCAGTCGCAAATTCTTATCGATTTCCTGACCCAAAAAATACAATGCGTCAATTACAAGTATGGTGAGTAAATGATGATAACGGTTAGCATTGACCACCCTCATAATCGTCATTTTACACGTGCTCGCAAACATATGAAAGTGATTTCCTTTTCGTTAAAACGTGTTCTTATTTTGCGGCATGTTTATATCGCTGTGGCAGTGAAATGGAAATATCTAATCCAAATATCAGTGCGCATTTAATATGCATTTAAAACTTTGTATTTCGCAATATAAGTGAAGGAGAAATTATACCCATCGGCACAGAAGTGACTACGAAACTATAAGTATATATTATATTTTATAATGTATATTATTGTAGTTTATTACTGTCAAACTTTGATTTGCGAGATAGCACCGTCAATATTCTGATCACAGTGAATAATCATATTATACGTTTGGTCAACCGAGATATCCATCGCATATCAAAATTTAATACTTCAGGAATTTTTGCGGTAAAAACGATTTGCCATTGCATATATTTATTGTGTGTGTGTGTGTGTGTGCTTGTTTATTGCATTATCTACATATCTAAAAATATCTACGAGATAATTATAATTGCAGTGAAGGCTATGTTTATCGGAGTAATTTAATCGTACAGCAGGAATATTAGAGTATATTTCAATACAAAATTATTATTATTATTGCGTTTGAGGAAAACGCAAACCGAATTATACAGCTTTTAAATATACAAGATGTAACATTTTGTCGTTTACTTAGAGACATTAATAACTGTGCGGTCAGGGATATCACCTGCTAATGCGTGATAAAACATTAGATTATAGCTAGATTCCAGTGAGAGTAGCTGATGTGCGCACGTAAGAAAAGAAAGCAAATAAAACTGGGTGAAGGAGAAGTTCATGAAAAAAAGCAATTGAAAAAGACGCGATCAAAGAGAGCATTATTCAGTTCGGTGTGAAAGGTGGATCTCTCGATCTTGTAATGTTTGAAAATTGCGTTTACCGTGGCACTAGTACGACGATACAGAACGGATGATTAACCACGTTTAGCGAAAATCGGGCTGCTGTGTTCATTGATGCCTAGAAGTTGCGTGACCTTCCAATTTGTAGCATTACTTTTAGCGTATGAATATTCGAACTGTCTGTAGTACTTTCCATATTATTTAAATATAAATTTTAATTTTACGGAAAGTTGAGATATCACTTTATTAAGAGTGCAATTTATATTTAAAGAATAAAACCATTCACATATTGGACCCCGGTATCTCTGTATCGCTTATAGAGTCATGCACGGTCTCGCATGACTATATATGAAACAAGTTTGCTATATACCAAGTTTATCGTGTTTGTGCATATTCAGCTATCAGCAATGTCTTGTTAATAATATACATGATGTACTATGTTAGCGACTATAAATATCTAAATGTGTGTAAAGCACAACATTAATTTAGATTTTATATAGATATTAATTTCCTGTCTTTTCAAATAAAAAGAATGTTGATTCAATAAGTATTAATGCATATATTTTAACGTTTAATGTCTAATTCTTGGAACAGAAACTTAATAATAAATACAATGAGAAATTTTATAATTATAAGCCTCTTTCTAAATTTTTTATATAATTTCTAATTTTAAATATATATAATCCGACAGTATTCATTTCTAATTTCGATTATATACAATCCAATAGTTTTAATAATGTTATAAATAATTCCATTTTAACGTATCCATCGTATTTTCGTTCGGCTGTATAACTCTTTCTCTTTCTCTCTCTACTTACTCTTCCGAGTATCATTAATACTGCCGGGTCATATTTGCACCAAGGACTTGACCGCATGGTCCATTTTTTCAGAACTTTGACAGAACTACTTATTGTCCTTACAAATGGACAAGAGTTTGGGAGCAGCGATCTAAAGAGTGCAGAAAAAGTGACTTTGATCGAACGACTTTCTTCCGCATTTGGTTCGTAGAACTTGTAACGGCATTATCAGGATGACGGGCAATCCGTGAGGATGACTAAGAAAGGAAAATGCGAGTGAAAGGATCTCGGTATACGTTCGCCGTGTATGCATAGTCGTAGATTTGACTGATAACTATACCCAGATATCCCTGCTGGCAGAATATAGATTGCAAGTACTTGATCTTGGGCGTTGCGTCCCACGCGCGCGTAACTGGACATTCTGACCTCACTTTCATATAGTCTGTCGATTCTTCTGAAAGGGCTACCAGTATACTTTCATTCTCCTTTCCCTATAGAGAACAATCTCGATAAAAATGAATCGGAAATTTAAAAAGCAAATCTGCAGTCTAAAATGCGAAATGCTCTATTGAATGAATCATTAAATTTTAAATGCCTGCTAAATTCCTAAGTATATCAGTAATTAAGCAGATTCTGTAATTACAAAAATGGTTAGTTATATGTTTGATAATATACAAGATGGGACACTTAAAACGTAATATCTTGAAATTAAACATAATAAAGAAAAATATTTCAAACAAAAGTTGTATGTATTTATAAATTATATATGGGTTTTGTGAGATTAAAGATGTAAAAATTGACGTTTTTCGATACATTTGTGATTTTTTACTAGCAAAGTAAATTTTTTTTCTACTTTTGTATACGCCATCTTAAAATGTCAACTTTCATTTTTAAAATATGTATTTTTATAATGCCGTACGTTTTTTTTTCACCGAGATAATTTCTGCATAGTTACACGAATGTCTTTTGATTTATATCGAATAATTTTGATTTGTAATAAATTTAAAAAAACACACAACATATTTATATATTCTGTTTTAGAAAAAATTATATAGAAAGATTATTGTTTAATATACTAAACAAAATAATTATATAAAATAATAAACATTAATATTTTATAATACAACTAAGAACATTTAACATATTAGATAAAGAATATTCTTTTGAGGGAACATAAAATACTTCCTAGTTCTACGCATAAATTATGTTATTATCTACATTAAATAAATAATTTAAGAAATATGTAAAGTAACAGAAAATAATAAAATTAACAGAAAATTCACAAAATAAAACTGTATATAACTTTATTGATGAAATAATCTTTACATATATATAATAATAACTAAATTATATATTCATAATACTATATAAATGCCCTTTTATGTAACCATCACCAAATGTATAATGTATGCTGTTATTGATATACGTAAATATAATCAAGACAACCGCGCGATTTTTAACCCCAAGGATGATGAGCAGATTTCTGTAAACTTGCATGCTGGACTGCAGCTGCTATTGCGTTTTCTTTCGCAGCTATTATATCCTTTTCCTGTTTAGATTAAACAATGCACGTAAATATGTTAAGAATAAATTGACATCAGTAACGACTTATAATTGATAACATAAATGATAACAATTTTAGATAAGAACTTTAAATAGTAATTAAAAATATTAATATTAACGAAAACTACTGTTTTATTTTATACAGAAATATAATTAAAAAAATTAATTTTGTTAATAATACCTTAGCTTCCTGCTCGCTCTGACTAATTTGCTTATCAACATCCAACTTTCGCAATTCTGCGGCGGTGTTAGCCGCGTTTCTTTGGATTGCTGCAGCTGCGGCGGCTTCTCTTGCTGCTGCTACTCTCTGTGCAGCTGCCACAGTATCCTTTAGGGTTGCTAATCTTTGTTGCAATGCCACGAGTTGTCGGGCGCTGGCTTTAGCTTCAGTCTCAGCATGTTGTGAAATTTCATGCGACCTGCATAAAGTGGAAATGTTACAAGTGCGCAGCGTAAAAGAGACAGCCAGTGGCTATCACGTGGCGATCTGCGATAGAACGTTAGATGTAATGAAATGGAAAATCAAAATGAATTAATAATTTATATACCTCGCGGCAGCTTCTCTCGCCGCTGCTTCCTTTGCCAACGCAATTTTCTGCTGAATCAGTGCAGCTTGCTTCGCCTCCGCAACTTTGTGCTGAACTGCGACAACGTTGTTGTTTGCCTCCTTTGCTTGCTGAATCGCTCTTAAAACCTCGGGCGGATACGCGATGCTAGGCGTACCAGACACCGGATCCTTTAATGCCTATTACATAAATTCGTAGCGAATATATTCCACAAATCTTATGTGTAAACCACAGACTTCTACATGATTTCAGACTTACATATAGCCGCAGATTTCTATAGAAGTCTGTGTATAGCGGTGTAACGCAAAGTGTGTAAAAATAAATGTGCGTACCTGAAGTGCCACATCGTGTGTAGCTTGAACTTCGACCTGTGCGAGCGCTACGTCCGGAGTGATCGGTGGATTCCAAGCCGAAGTCGCAAAACTTTGGGCCCAAGGAGCGAAAGCTGGCACAAACCCAAAGAAATCAGGCGATCCGAAAAACGCCACTCCGCGCTTATGCTTCTTTGAGTCCGATTTTAGCTCCACCACCACCGCAACAGCGGATAGAAGCACAATCTACAAATCAATACTTAATTATTCATATACATAAAAATATAAGTCAACTTTAGGAAAGAATTGTTCACGGTCATTTTTGTCTCAGAGTCTGTAAAGTTCTAAAATTCCTTCCAATATTTGCACAATGCATAAAAAGAATGGATTCGTTAAAATATCTAAAAATATTGTTAAATCTGAATATAATTTTATTGAATCATCAAAATAATTATAGGACGTTAAAGCTAGTTGTTAGAATATCGAAATGCTTTTTGCAGCATTTCATGCTTGCTATACGTAATTATTTTGATAATCGGACAAATTTATTTTCAAATCTGTATCTAGCTAGCTAATTTTTACTTTAATAAAATTGTTCTTCCCGTGTGTTAGTTTTGAAAATAGAAATTTTCTATTTTTGTTGCGATATAAGATATAAAAAGTTTTATGTTCCTAGAAATTGTGGATTTGATAAAATATAGACAAAAATGTGCTTGAGCTTTTAGTTACCGTTACGATGATCTTCATCTTAGCGAGAAATATTGCTGATGATACTGAATCCTTCACTGGTGGGCCTCCGGTATATATACAACTTTTGATAGGAGGAAGAATGCTCTAGCGTCTCCGGGATAATCACAGAATTAATTAAAACTATTAAAAGGTGTCCGTAAATATCCATGTATCACAAACAGAATTATAGGCCTTTATTGACTAATGACGATTTTCTGGAAGGCGTATGCTATACAATCACTGCACACGAATCCACTTACATCTTAGAAATCGATGGACGAAGATCATATCTTGTCCTCGAACTAAGGAAGTAGTTAACTAGTTGTGAGTACGTACGGAGTACTTCCGCTTTAATATATGGTAGACAAGTAAATTTAATAGATATTGAGAGGATATTCGATATCTTGATCAAGAGATATTGTTTATACGTATGTATTGTTTCGTACTTATATGGCTCTATAAGATGAGAGTTATGAAATATAAAACATAAATAAAATTGATATAAAGAAAATTAATAACATTAATTATTAATTCTTTAATAAAATAATAACAATTAATATTAATTTCATATATATATATATATATATATATTAATATACACAATCTAATTACGATATTATAATTATGGGATTAATATTATAACAAAGTTAAAACAAAAGCACGTTGCATTTGAATGATACAATTATAACATTAAATAATAAAATGCAAAAACATTAATTATTATTTGTACATATAATAAAATGCAATAGAATTGTCAATTTAATATAATAAAATTCATAATTTGTATAATATTATATCATATTATATAAATATTATACAATGTATGATAATAATATTATGTCATTAAATTTATATTTCTAATTTTTATTAAATTGCTTATACACACACACATTAAACAATTATATTTTTAGAATTTTTTGTTTGATGTACAAAAAATTTAAGTTTTTTTTATAAAGTTATCACCGCGCGTATCTTTTTGAAATAAATTTGTAGCATCAGTCAAAAATTGAAATATTTGTGTATGATATAATTTCGATTAAATGATCTATATTATAACAGTAAAGAATAAGTACAACATTAATATAACGTGTAATAAGTAAACAGAACAAAAGCTTAACAAATAATATACGTGGAATCGATTGTGTTATTTTATAATATTACATAATATACAATAAAAGTAGGACGTAACAGAAACAAATGTAAATGTGCACAATACTTGATTTCTTCTAAGAAAACCGCAGAAAAGAATTCAGATTTTTGTATAAATAATATTATATCAATATAAGATTTTGCCAGGGAATTTAGTTTCAAAATTTGCACATGCAATATATTTCTTAACTTAATATTTGGTTACTTCGTTGTTCAGATTCCTGTCAGATCACGAAAAATTTCTGCATTTGTGAGAGAACGCACCCGGCCGCTCAATATACTTGGCTCATAAAAAGGAGCTCCGTCGCCAGAATCTGACAGTTGTCTCACATTCGATTTAGGAACCGTTTTCTTAGACGAGTTCTTATTCAATTTCCAGTCGTTCACGGAAGAATACGGATACAGATCTTTGTCTTCGGAGTTGTGTTTGCTGTCGGTCTTGGAATTCTTCAATTTGTAATACTTAGCAGCACGAAGGTGATCATTTTTCTTTGGTGATTTCTTGGAAATCAAAAGCTTCTCAGTTTTTGCATGCTTAGAATATTTTCCAGTCCTGGGTTTTTTATATCCAAAAAACTCTTCATAAATCACTTTGGGCGATGTTTTAGTGGATATGTCAGAACCATAAGCGGTGCTGTCTCTATAATCCATCTTTGGTACCTTACGATTTTTGCGGGAATTGCGAGACTCTTGACTCTTCGACTCTTTAGATTGTCCTTGCTTTACGCGAGATTTACTTTTTTGTTGCCGTTTAGAAGAACTCGAATCAACATAACTCTCTATTTCTGGCACTTCTTTCACGTGCACATATTCTGTAATTAAAAATATTAAAAATATTAATTTAATATTTCTATTAAACTCATTAACATACTTATTACTTCAATTAATAAAAATATAATTTTATGTAAAAGTCTCCATACGTAAAAAATAATTTACTTTCTGGATACTTTGTGTTTATGTAATATTATATTATTTTAAATTTACGCGAGTTTATTATTTTAAAATTATCTTCAAAGATAAAGATATTAACAAATTGTTTAGCAATATAATATTATATAATACTTATTGAAAAATTTTGGTTAAAACTAATGCAAATGTAATTCTAGATATACATATGTGCATAATATTCGTCGATTCTACGTACCTTGTTTCGGTAGCTCTTCTTTATAAGATTCTTCGAATTCTTGCTCAAAATCTTTCTGATAATATTTGGATCGTCCTGGAAGTTGCACCTCGTAAGAGTCTTCATCGACTTCCTTGCGTTTCTCCTGCTTACGGCTTTCTTCTTCATCCTTCTCTTCTTCATCCTCCTCTTCGAAAGAATCATGTGATGGTTTTGAGGATTCAGTGTATTCACCACGGTATTCTGATGATGAGTCTTCTTCTTCTTCGTCGTCGTCCGATGAATTTTTATAGCTGGAAAATGGTTTATCCTCAAAGTCATCGTCATCAGAGTACGCTCTATGCTTTCCAAATCTCTCGTCATACTCTTTGAAAGGATAAGACGTCGAAGGCTTAAAGTCACTTTCCGTTGGCGACGCTTTGAAATGTTTTCCTGCTTGACGTTCAACATCGTCATCCTCGGAACTGCTATCGTATTCCTTATCCGAATTTTTGTATCCTAGAAATAATATTACTGGTATAAATATATTTCAAACTTATTTTATAATTTTAAATCAGAACTTAATAAAATCATTAATTTATTATCAAAATATCTGCAATGTATATAAATACATTTTCTAATAATTTATTTTATAATTTTATAGAAAGAAATATTAAAAGTCTGTCATTTTTTAATATATCTTAAATTAATATTTTAACTAAGTTTTTTACTTGGACATGCACGTTAGAAGACATAATAATACACACTTTCATCATCTCTAGTTTCATCATCGTCGTCATCAGGTTGGGGTGTATGTGGCTCTGGATTTTTCGTGTTGATAATCTCCGCGTCATTCAGAATGCCTTGCGTTCCGACGGAAGGATGAGCGGTATTTTGTCGCACATTAATAGGCTGCACATTGTCATTATGTTCCTTGTCAAAATGCAATTGTGGTTGATTATAAAGGGATTCGTAATTGCCTTGCGCTTTGGGAACATTACTTGTAACAGGGTAAGCTTCTATACTGGCGCCTTTGTACTGCGGAAATTGCGGGCTACCGTTGGCCTTCTGAATCGGTATGATTTGACCCTGGAAACTCGATAAAGGCGATGAAAACGGCGAATCGTTACTCGATTGAAGTGCTATGTTCAATTTTGGTCCGGTACCAAATTTAAATCCTACATCCGATTCGATCGGATAGTTCGAGCTTAGTAAAAACGGCTGACTCTCGAAGGTGGGCAAAACTTCCGAGAAATCTGAATTGCTTTGGAGTTGAATGATCGGAACCGAGATCCTTTTGCCATTCATGTCCACAGTGGCTTCATCTTTTTGTCTAAAGTTCTGGGTTGTCTTGTCCGATGACGGAGTAATACTTGACATCGTTGGTATACTCGGTGCGTACACTTGCGAATAATCGGTAACTTTTGACAATGGATAATTCATTTTATACACTGGCGCCTGGACGGTGGGAGAAGAAACGCTCTGGGAGACAAGCTTGCCGATATTTGTGAACGGAGGATACTCAAAATCGGAAAAGCTGGACAGTTCAATTGGTTTGTACTGATAAAACGCATTGTAGCTAGGCGAATAGATGCCCTGCAGTTTTTGGTGCGACTGTGACACGATCGATTTCGACGCGTCTAGCGGTTTCTCGACGCTCCTTGCAGCTTTGTAAGCATCGGGATTATTCAGTATACCAAAATACGGAGCCAGCAGATTGCTTCGATGAGATTCTATCTGGTGGATGGGTGGAGAAACGTAGGGAAGCGGCCGTTTTGGCACACTTCCATATGCGTGAGAACCAGGTCCGTGATTTGTGCCAGTATAAGGCACTCTCTGAGTAACTGATGCCTTGACGTTTCCATAATTAGGCGATAATCTTAAGTTAATATCCTGAGGCGACGGGATTCTTGGTGTAGTTTGAGTACCTCTTGATTGCTCCTGATTATTAGGGATATTGTGGGTGGGATCTACGACTACACGTTTCAATTTAGTAGACGTTGCTGACGTGACGGAAGTTCCAGTCGAAGTCACGATCTTCGTGGCGGAACATATCGCAGACGTAAAGAGAATGATGTTCACAATCTGGAACGTATTTAGCGCACACGCGTTTTGAATATCAAACTGTGTTTAATATGAAAAAATGTTAACTAAAAATAGAAATATGTATTATGTTGCATAATAATTTATTTGATTAATATATAAAATTTAATTGTTGATGTAAGTTATATGTGTAATGCCTTTACAGGAAAATAACGATTCTGCTAAAATATCTAAAAGTTTAGCTAGATCTAAAAATAATTTTGTTGGATTATCGAAATAATTAATGCAGAATAATGATAGTTGTTTGAATAATGGTTGTTAGAATGCCAAAATTTTTTACAACATTGCTCATTATATTTGAGATTTCTATGTAAGTATTTAGATCCAACAAAATTATTTTTAAATCTGTATTTTATTTAAATTATTTTAGATAATTCAGCAAAAGTATTATTTTTATAAATAAATGTAAAAAAGATAGCATCGAAACTTTTTTCAACGTTTTTAAGTCAATTATACATCAAAAATACTAATGACATTATTAATTCACAATTGTCACAAATATATGATAAAAATCGATTTCATCGCACAACATATCCATGTAATAAATGAATCACATTTGTAAGTAAATATCACTGTTATTACAATGTTACACATAAACGATCGACATGCGGTTATTTAAAATAATTAGGAAACTGAAAAAAAACACGTACCAACATGATACTCGTACAGTTCGGTACGAGTAGAAACCAAAGTTCGACGTTAACTGATTGCGACCGACATTCTCTCATCTTTTATATTCGGCATTTACTGATGCGAGACAACAGAATGGGTTGGACTTTCCTAAACTTTGTAAAAAGCGTATCGAGAAAAACCGAGTCAAATCACCTCGCTTCTCCCTGATCAGTGAAACCATGATCATAACTATTGATCTAGCTTTTTATTAACTTATACTTCTCTCTTTTTGTAATTCGTTGTATTTATATATTATCATCATGCAAATTGCATGCAATGCGATCAAGAATTAGATAAACAATTCTTTTTACTATCGTAAATCTGTGGATATAGTTAAATTCGATTTCCTATTTGATTGTTTAGTACAACTTGAATTATTACATATAAACATATAATATAGGAGAAACATTTATAATATATATTTACCACACAAATTTAAATGGAAATGAGAAATAATAACTTAAAATTACTGTATAATTATGTAGATATATTTCTAATATTCATTGAATATTCTGTAGAGATAATAATAACTGTATCATTTACCAGAAGAACGATTATTTCTTTTATTAGCTGTCGTTATTCTAAGAAAACTTACGCAAGCATAACTAGCATAATAGTTTTGTGAATTAACGTAGATCCCAAACTAATTTCTGTCTAATTCTCAGGGTTTTCGAGAAAGTGGCTATTGCACAATAAAAATGCTCCAATGGATTTATGTATACAAGCTCCATTGAGTAAATCTTAAAACTAATGATTGTTACATACCGTAAGGTGAACGTCTCTTCCTTCTGGGTTATGGTTGAATTATTATGCCAATCAAGTGGAAAGAATGCAGTTGTGCATATTTTTGCCATATTATTGATTTATATTTTGTAAATATAATAATTAATTTTTTTTATATAATAATATAACATTAACGTCTGTTCCAAAATGCAGTTACTAATTTCTCTCTCTCTCTTATCTCTAAGTTGTCAGTTCATCTTTTAATCAATTTTTTTTTAATGTTGTGAAAAATGATAATTACGTCTAGACTTATTATATTTTGTGATTATGATATATAATATAACGTAACATTTTTTTAAAAATAAGAAAATGTTGCTAACAATTTTTAATATTTTATAATATAAAACTTACAAATCATTATTTTAAATTAAAACAATTATTCATTGAAATTGTAGTATTTTCAATTTTTTTTGTTTTTACTTTTGAAAGACATTTCTTTTATATTATTTAACATTCTATGTACATAAAATATATAGTAGATATTCAAGAACTTAAATCTTAAAATGATAATAACACAAATACATATAGTATATGACAGAAATAATATATTCATAAAAAATTAATAAATTATTTATTTATTTTACAAAAATACTGAATGTTTAATATTTTGAATGATCATTCTTTTTTTAATTTTACTATTATAAATAATTATTAAAATTTAATGTAATGTATAAATTATAATAAAACATTTTCAGTGTATACAATAAACAGCAATTCCTTCTAGAAAATAAAACATTTTTGTTAGTTTAAAACTAATATTAAAATCCTCATTTGATTTGTCACAAAAAGCTCGAAAAATACTGTTATGTATATTAATGCAACTATGAAAACATTTTGCCTTCAAAATGTTGATGTGAAAGTTTGATATTCGTATTTTTTTGAAAACTTTAATTTTAAAACAGCTTTTTGCATAAATATTAGAATTAATTTATCTCAGGAAACATTTTTTTAACGCGTTTATCACAATACGTTTATTCAGATCAAAAGTGAAAGATATATTAAATAAATAATAAAGAACAATATATTTAAATTAATTAGAGTATAATTATATTTATTTGGTAAAATAAAATGTTATTACAATACTCACCTTTTACAAAATTCTTTGTGTTTATCTTTGCTGTAGAAAAAGTGTTTTTATCGCGTATTTGATTCTTGATCACGTCCTTGAATAGATGAAAGAGAAAAGAGAAAGTTGATAAGAAGAGGAAACAGATATAAATTCAACAGAATATAAAACAGATATACAAAGCCATACAAATTACAAGACGTATGTATTTCTTGTTTAACTTAATATGTATATACAGTATTTTTCTGTGTCTTACAATGATGACTGATGAATTTCCTTTCCCTCTACCCGAACATTCCGTGCGAGCGCATACGATACTATCGATTAATTTTTCATTTTCCGTATAAAACTCATTTATTATAATTAAACACTTATTGTTAGTGCAAACAGCGCAGCGGCTCGATACTGGCGTGATTTTGCATTTGATAATGCATAAAGTGGACGGGAAATTGTCCGTTATCGCGAATGGGAGGATAAACGTACTCGTACTTACTACTTAATTAATTATAGTCTTTTCACGAACAAACTTATACTGAAAAAAAGAGTTCCGATTGAAGCAATTGGAATTCTGGTTGAAAATGGACAAATTAACAATTTTTATTTGAATTTATGATTGTGTGTGAGATAATCAAAATTTTAATTAACATGATTAGAGTCATCTGATTCGTCCATTTTCAATCAGAATTTTTTTTCAGTGTACGGATTTTATGCAGATCCAGCGAATGCATCGCGTGATCGATATCTTGCTTGTATTTTTGATTACGAATTTACGCGGTACCATTCCCCGAATAGATATTCTCGTTGGCAACCGAAGTAGGTTGGGAAACGATGTCGGACCTATCCATGTAATCCCTGAAGGTATTAGCATATAACTGCTGCTGCAGCCGACGTCTGTCTCTCTCGAAGAATTGACTTAATTGATCCTTGTCGCGAAAATAGTTCTGCGCGCCTCTGTTTGGCAATTGTTTATTCTTCATTAACATACCAAGAAGATTATGCATTCTAGGGTGATTGATGTCATATTCTGTATTACTTTTCATTTCTCGTAAGATTTTACTGAGGCTTTCCGGCGTCGACGTGGTGAACGTCGGATACGAATCAAAAAACGACCGATGTCTAGAATCGTAGTCAAAGTTTTCATGATCGAAATCTTTAGGCGGCTTACGTGAGTAAGCGTGCGTTCCATCTAGATACACTTCTACATTACTAGCAGATGTTTCTAGTCCACTGGATCCTTTATTTGATCGTAGTTTCCTCGGGCCATTCTTGAATCTCGATCCAGGTCGTTTCTTCATTTGTTTATCGTGGAAGGGAACTTTTGAACGAAATGCATCCGGTCTGGGTGGCGTGAGAAATTCCAAGTAGCTATCGTCATTGAAGTCATAGTTGGAACTCGCAGCAAAGTTCGTATCTTCCAGTTTAGGTTTGCGACCAGGTTTAACAGCGCCATGATAGATATGTATTGGTCCCCCGGGTCGTGTCTTTAGCAAATGTTCCAAAGTCGCTAATAGTGGATCCAATTTCTTTTTGTCGCCTGAAGATGTGGGCGCGTTACTTGTATGTACGTTATTCTCGCTCTGGTACGCTTCAAGAATATCTCTGTACTTGGACTCTGTCAAGGAAGATTTTAATTTTTGCAATTCGTGCCTTAGTTTGGCTAAGTCACTTGCTTCGGAATTATTCTGAATGTTTCCCGGTTTTCTGTCGTTGTTCCATTTCTGCGAGTTGTACATTGTTTTCAAGGATTCTTTGAACATTTCCTCAGCATATTTCTGCAAGTCTGACGCAAGTTTCGGTTTCATGATCAACTCGTTTTGCCCTGTTAAGGGTTTAAAAAAATTCCCGCCAGGCATGGCAGGCACCAGATTCAAACCTGGTTGAAGAGGTTCATTCGTCGACAACTTGTTATTAAGAGCGTTTTGGTTTTTGATAATGTCAACGTTAGGAATGAAATTGATAGGATTAAACACTGGTCGTTCCTGAGTCTGAGCAAATTTAAGATCCACTTGCTTAGGTTTGGCTCCGGACTCTGTTAGAGAGTTCACGTAACTGTGCAAAATGGTTTGCGGAGTAGCCGAGGCAATAGTGCTAAAAATTGGGATGGGTGTCGTCAAAACAGTAGCCGGATAATGCATCGCTTGATAAGTATTCATATTGAAAGGATTTATTTTAATGTTTGGATTTACAATCTCTACGGTCTTCGTACCCACATTCGGAAGATGAGCGTTTGTCGCTGCTGTTCCTAGCATATTTAAATTATTAATCGAGTGACTAGTCGTACTGTCAGCAGCCTGCAACACAATGCCAGGCAGTCTACCGCCCTTCGTTAGTTGCTTATTCATTTGAGCTTGCAGTTCCTGTAAATTCTGTTGAGTTGGAATTAGCTGCGTATTCTGGCCTTGCATATAATATGAGTTAACATTAGCCGCCTGCTTCTGTCCATTCTGACCGACGGCTAGGCTCGCGGTAGCGAGGAAGTTTCCACCGGAAGTGGGGTACACGTTCTTCTTGATATGAGTTTCCATGTTGGCCCTGCTCTCTGGCATTGTTTGGCTGGACAACAAAGTGGGCACTGTCGACGCACTCTGTACCTGCAAGTTAGCATGATTAATCAAATTCTGACCCTGCAGTCCATGGGGATTTACTTGAATATGAGTTGCCTGCAGCGGCGTCTGTAGAAAACTTGGATATGTCTGTATAGTTGGTTGCGGAAATACGGTGAAGGTCGTTTGTGGTGTTACATTCCCCTGCATACCGTGAACGTTCAAGTTTTGCAGCGCTGGAGTTAAGCCGGGCGTAAAAGCGAATACAGGTGTCATAGTGCTCGGAACGTAAGTCGCTCTCAATGTATTTACGATCTTATTTGGACCGCTTGGATGTGAAAGCAGAACCGTCTGTACGGGATTTTGGAAAGTGTTCTGGCCAACAATGATATCGGGCACTGGCGTGGAAACCAGGTTCTTCGATATTGCCAAATTCTGAGTGAGAACAGGTTGAGGCGTACTCAAGAGAGGTGTTGTCGTGCTAAATGTACCAATCGGCGCGACGGTAGCGAGATTCTGCAACATTGCGTTGGACATATCAAAACCCTGGCTACCACCTAATGCGGTTGCATGGTCGAAGTTTCCTACGGGCACGAAATTAACAATGTACTTCGGCTTCTCCAACTGATTCAACTCAATCCCGTTGGAATGAGAGATTTCAAGATTTGGAGTTATCTGACTCCATGTATTGGTATTCCTCGATCCATGAACTTTCTTTGTTTTCGTGCTGGTGACTCTAGAGTCGTGTCGAATGTCTTCGACACTCTCGTCGTGGTGATTCGCACTGGGATCATTGAGCCATGGATTCGCTTTCGTTCTGTGCCGCTGCGATTTTAATTTTGCAGAGTTATACATGTACTTACCCTCGTCTGCGCTCTCGTTCAACGTACCTCGATGTTCTTTGGAGAGCTGTTTTCTGACGGAATCAGGACGTTTCCGATTTTTTTGTGCTCTCAGTCTTAGCCGGTCGACATAATCGGAGTAATCTGTGTTCTCATCTGAGACTTCTCCGGAGTCTTCCGTGCGTTGATAACTACGCTGCCTGTTGTTATTGTTATAAGTGTCATAAGTCTCTGAATTAGAAAATTCTGAGTTTTTCAAAGTTTTGTCATCATTATCAGACTCGCTGTCTTTCAGCTGGCTGCTGAACTTTATCTCCATTTTATGGTTACTCGGTTCGGCGACTACGACCGGTTTCATGAATCTATGGCGTGTCCTCGACGATTCCGCAGCATCGCCATAAGTTCCGCTATGCGCGAGTTCGTTAGCCTCGTAATTCGTCCTTGATGAGGACGGGGTCGCTACTGCATTCTTGGTCGCGCTCAGCCCATTGTAGTTTACAGTATTCTGCTGTTGATAATTACCAACGACTTTCTCCTGCCCGTAAAGAGTCTTCTTTGTATCATGGGCGTTGTTGTACGAATAGAATTGAGCATAGATATCCGCGTCATTGTTTTGTTGCGACTGCCAACCGTAATTACGGGTGTGGTTCTCAAGTCTCTTCCCTCTCTCGTTGTTCGAATGCCTCGAAGATTTACCGGACTCGCTGTCGGTCTCGGTGTTCATTGTGCTGTGCATGTTCTCGTAAAAATCCTGGTAATTAGCCACCGCGGGGGTGTCGTTGTTCACCTTCAACAGCTCGAACTCATTCAGCCTATCGTCCTGGAAATCGAAAGACCTGCGATTTGTCAGTGATCCAGGTAGACTCAAGAAAATCCTCGCTTCCGAGGAGTACGCTAAGTCTTCTTCCAATTTTTTCACCCTCGAACTGTCTTCAGCACTTACGGCATTCGTCGCGTTGCTTTCTTCAGATCTCTGCTTCTCGTAATCACTGGTCTGTGACGAATCGAGTTCGTACGAGACGGATGGCGAGACGGATCGCACCATAGGGACAAAGCCGTTAGAATTTTCATAATGTATAGTTGACGACGATATGCTCGAGAGCTCTTTTTCAAGGTCCTTTGAATTTTTATTCGGTTTTACAGCGTGTACCATGGTCTCCGAGGCAGTTGCGAGTTGGTCAAAGATCTCTTCACTCTTTAAGTCAGCATTCTCTGAGCATCTTGTTTGTGGCCAGCCGAGAAACAGCAATATCACCTACGAAAGTTGAGAAATGCTATTAAATTATATCTGTGGTTAAAACTTAAGAGCCAACTTTCAAATCGTTTGTCTGAATAATCAAATAATTAATAGTAAAAATAAATTTAAATGACATTATATCATTTTCATATTGTTTTAAGTTATATAAAATTAAATGTAAAATAAAACGTAAAAAATAAAAATTGAAAGAATTTACTTGAGATGATACAACTTATTTAACTGATAATAAACATATGAAAAACCATCGAGTTATTTTAAAGGTATGAGATCTGAAAGATACATATTATATATCGTATGTTTTTAATTATAAGTCTTGCTAAAGAAGAAAGTAGCAGATATGCATTGCAAAGTTTGGATAGCCGCTACATGATAGTAAGCAGTATTAATTGCTGTTTCGTCAAGGAGATGACCTAGAAAAGAAAAGCAGACTGGAAAAGTAAAATGCGTGTGCAATGGAAATAAGGACTGGATGTGCAAGGAAGCAAATCTTCGTAGACTTTCTCACTGATTCATGGTCATTTGAGTTATCTGACAATGACTCCCATACTGGTGTCACCGTTAATGTAATAATTTTGAGCGGTAAAAAAGAATTTCCAAAGCTCGGAGTGCAATTGTATCACATAAATGACTTTTCTTTAAAAGATGCAGAAATCTGAGCAGCCAACATATAGTTTATCCGTTTAGAGAGTGTCGGTGAAAAGTAATTGTGGAGAAAACAGAGCCAATTTTAACTATTCTTTATGCCTATCGTTAAACAAGTCGGTCGAAGTTGTCGATCGAAATATAACGTCATTAATATGCACATCTTTATTTAGAAGCAATTTTATGTGTGTCGATATCATAAGCATTTAAAAATGATACGTGTGCATTGATAACTTTTTTTTTATAATGAAAATTTATAAGCTCTATTCTTTGCTGTTGTACATTCTAAAAAATGTATTGAGATTACACCGTTATTTTTATAGTCTATTAAACAATATGTATATTAAAATAAAAAAATAATTCTTCTATTATAATATTATTTTTAATTTAGCGCATACCTTAAATAGTAATTTTTATTATAAACCATTTGAAAAATATTTACAATTTATAATTTATCTTGTATATTTAATATGACACACTTAAAAATTTTTATAGCATAATAATGATCAAGAAGATACAATTTAAAATGTGTATATTAATATAATGTGTGTATAATAATAAAATAAAAAATAATTGAATATAAAGTATGTAAAATAAGTACAAAGAATATATATTGCATGATATATAATATTATTTATGCAAAGTACATTTTATAGCAATTTGTTATTAATTTTTTATAAATTTTATAATACATGTAATTCTAATATTAAAAATCTATAAGAAATACTCTGATAATAAAAAAAATTTCAAATAGAAAATTAAATTGTTTAAAAAAAAGAAATTGAGGATAGCGAAATTAAAGAAGATGAGATATTTTTACATGCTCTTTTTCTCTATACATCACGATGAAAGAGGAGAAATAGAGAGAGGAGAGAGAGAGAGAGATACACACTATATTAGATTAATATTCTCTTAGAAAAAGTTCCACATCATTTCACATGTATTGGGAAAAATCCGTCACTAAATTTGGAAACATAAGTAATGCGACATTGCATCCAATATTTATTAATTTATATCAGAGAGAGATTGTTAATATACCAAACTCTTTTCCACACTAAAAGTTTTTATCCACACCAAAAATAAAACAACCAATTATATTTTTCATCGCACAAATAAACTTCGCACTTTCACAAAGTACTCAGATCCAAGTACTTACATAATAAAAAATCATTTTCATTGAAATCATTTTTAAAATTCCTCCAGGGATCAAACATTAAGCAAAAAGGAGATTCCTGTGCCACACTGTACTACGCGTATACATTGATTACGACCATTCGTTCCCGTATCTTCGCCTCGTGATAATCTTAAAGATCGCGCGTGGTGAACCTCCACGCGAGAACTGAGCCACATAGTAGATACGCGATTTTCTTTATACAGTCCGGTGGCCAAGAGAAAAATATCGTTCTAAATATTATCCTGTACACCACACAGCCGCAAAAGATACTTTCATTCGCGACACGCGAGTGCGCCTGGAGAAATATTGTCCGGCGTATCATGGGACGTGGTCGCTCGTCATCACGTGGAATTCGAGCAACAATGATCGCAATTATACGGAAACGAAGAGAGGGCATACTCACCGTACAAAAAATGCTCTCAATTGGAATCGAAATTGTTTTATTTCAAATTCGCCCAAAAGATACCGATCGCAGAATGTCGTAAAAAGGACAGGAGAGGCGATCGCTATTTTTCTAAATGCATAGTGAAGTATTTATTTATAACCAATAGAATGGCATCGATACAAACAAATAGGAGAGATCCGAGGAGATTCTAGATCTCTCTGTAGAATATTGTTTTATCTATTGGATGAAACCGCATTGGGAACCGCATCAATCCAAGTGCATACCACTACTTCCGGCGCTTTGTAGCCTCGGGAGGTTCTTGTTGTCTCTGATCGACGGGATCGAATCCGAGGTATCTTACGCCAGTACTTTTTCCGCCGTAATTTTACGCGCTCTAGAACACACGCGTTATACCTGATGCGTCTACTCCTCCCGATGCGCGCCGTGGAAACGAAGATGCACGTCCGTATGTAATGAACACGAGCCGATCTCCTCCCTGCGTGCCGAGTCGCTCGCGCTCGTGCTCGACCGTTCAGCAGTTTAATGCCTCGCGCCTAATTGCCGTGCCGCAATTGCCGTAGATGCAACGCAGATATCGTCGGAGCCTGCCTGTTGTGAAAACGTGGAATTAACAATGGAGCTGGAGCGGGCTTAAATTCTTTTTTTACGCGCCTGCCAGATAATTAACGTTAATTGAAGTTCAACGGCATCAGTCGACATTGATGCGTAACTCTACGCGCTCGCGCGCCGGTAATATCCTTTTTAATAATAATTTAGAGTTATTATATTTCTCTTAAACCTGGCATTTGCGAATATGCGTTTACGCGTTGTCCATATCGAGTAAACGCATAATAGCGCTTGATTGCCGCTTAATGTGCGTAAATTGGTAGGAATTCTAAAGCGAAAACTTTTACTTTACTTATGCGTATAACGCATTTGTACGGTCTTTGTAGTTAATATGAAAATTGACGTAAATGCTCTATGCCTAACGAAATAAGCGAATTAAAAAAAATTTATTACAAAAATATTTTTATAATAATTTCAATATTTTGTTAGTTTTCTTTTGCCTTTTCTTTTCCAAGAAAGTACAATGAATTGAGAATGCTTTGCTTATTAACCAAAGCTATATGTAATTATTGGGAAAAGTTAATAAGAGAGTACTCTTCTAATGTATGTTTACCAGTTTTTTCCAGTAATCAAATGATACTTACGTTGCCCATATATAATGTAATATACAGGATATCCTGGAACTGTCTTTTAATCGGTGCTTTTGTGGTCTATGGATTGATATAGGAAAAATGAAAGAGATTCTTTCTAGGAAAAATGTTTAAGAAACTTTATATCACAGGAAATTGCTGTGAACAGCTTCCTATGATAAAGTTTCTTGAACAATTTTCTTGAAAATTTTTAGCATTGCTCCTCTCTATAGTCAAGATTACCAAATTAAAATTTTATTGAAGCGGAACTTATTTATGTAAGAGATTCATTAAAAAATAATCTTGTCATGTCTATAGTCTTTGCAATTTCTTGATCTTAATGATTAACTGATTCTCAGTTGAACAATACCTTAATTAAAAGTGACTTAATTTTTACCAAAATGTCTTTAATGAAGTAAACATTGATTGATTCTTACATATAAAAATATGTTTCGTATTTTTTATGTTTTGTGGATTATTTAAAATCTTTATAATGTAACATGTATTTAAGTTGTTTCAAAAATGTTGAACAATCAAAGAATATTATAAAACCACGACCAAAAATAAATCAAAGTAGAAAACTATGTCCTAGCGGTTAATTTCATTATAATATATTTGTATATTTATAATTTTTTGAACATGTAACCACTACTATGTAGCTTTCTACTTTTGACTAATCTCTCTTCACATGCATCTATATTTATTTATATGAATCTATCACCATACATTTAAAAGAAAATCATTCTTATTAGTAAAGTATACCACAAAATTTTATAGAACTATTTTTTAGGGAATAAACAAAATGCGACTATCAGTAGTTTGTGATAAAAAGTACTAAATAAAAAAAATTTATGTTTTATAGAAGTAATTGATTCACGTAGAAATTTGAGGCACAAATAATACAAACCTAATTTGTATAAAAACTTGTTTCTTATTTGCTTATTTCATTAGCTTATATAATAATCCTGTATACAAATTGTGATTATCTTAAATCGCATACAAGGACTTACGCACTATGATTTATACCTACTAAGGTACCTTTTTGAAGTGTAGAAATTTGGCTGATTTTTCATAGATGCGTTCGCAAAGCAAAAGTATACTTCGCTTACTACCGCTTTCCCGAGAACAGTAAAAAATTTATTAACACCAACAAACTTTGCGTGTTCTCAATAAATCAGTAGCACAGGTACGTCATATGCATTATAATACATTGCACAATCCCATATTATAAATACTATCGTATCACTTACGTCCAATTATTATTATCTCGTTGATATTTTCTTAAATCCATTCATGGCACGAAGCGTCTCATTCTCTGTGAAGTGCCAAATAATGTACATTGCAATTATTTAATACTTAAAAATAGAGAATATGCAAGTGAAAACGAATATCTTTTCATATGGAAACTTTCGTGTGTGTGTATTCCAGATTTTATATCGCCGTCGGTAGCTAATGCTATATTAATCAATCATTTCGGCTTAACTTTAGTGTTCTTTTG